ATGCTGTCCTATTTGACCTAACGGACTGAGGTAAACGTTTAGCCTATGTTTACCTGCTAGTTGCCTAGCTGTACCTCTTCATTTGGACCCTCTAGACCCCCCTGTCTAGAACTGTCTTTTCATGCCATGACCCCCTCCCCCACTCCCCCCCCCTCCCCCACTCCCCCCCCCCCTCCCCACCGTTTGTACGTCATGTCCAAAACAGTGTAGCCATGGAGCTTCACGTAAACAAATCATGGCCGCCATTTTATTCTAACATTCCTGTGCACTGAACACATTATACAAAAATATAAAGTCAAATAAACAACGTAGCGTTAAATAAAACGAAACAAATTCTAATTAAATGCGAATTTATTATATTAGTTATATATAAGGCTACTTAACACTTTTTTTTATAATTTGTATTATATTTTCAGTAAGTCATTACTTACTTTAAATATGCATAGGCCTGTATTACATTTGTCCTTTTCATTATACTTACAATATAATCGTAATAAGATAATGGTTAACAAAGGGTTAATGTTGTGCTGTGTATTAAAATTTAGTACATCGCCACATAACAAAACTGCGACTGCCGATTTGCAAGTTCAAGTACAAATTGCTGGCTCGTCTAGCTACAACAGTGGATCTCACAATATGGCGGCCAGCTCTTGTGTTGTGGTCATAACTAAATTATTTAACCCAGATGGTACATCTCTTAACGCTTTATATCATTCAAACTATCACCCTCCCAAACGCACCCTAATTTATAAAACCACACGCACATAAACGATAAAACAATGTAGGCCAAACTTCTTATAAAACATGTGACATCATTTATGAACGCCAGTGTTTCTTTCAGACTTTTTTCTCCGGGGGGGGGGGGGGCGGGGCAAGATATTTTCGGGGTGGGGGATGCAAAAAAAATTTCCGGAGTGGGGACGCTGGTAAAAGTATATATTTCTATATAAATTCTATTTCGTTTTGGGTGGACGGCTCCTATTTCGTTTAAAGTATCGTTTACGGGATATTTAGTTACACGGCTATATTAGCGTGGCTTAAAAGCAAGTACCTACACTTGACCCGTTCACTTTGACCAGATCATTACATAATTACAAAGGTGAAGGTCGGACATAAGACAAACAACCATGAGCTGAGCTATGCACCAAAACCCTAGAACCTCTGTTGTTTTGGTTGCCAGGCTACCGCGTGCTTGTGGTGACGTGTACTATCAAACCGCGGCGTCTAGATTAAAATGGCACCTCTGCTAATTTGTGGGTCTGTGTGTGGGGGAGGGGGGAGGGGTCTGGTAATGTACTCGATTACAATGTACTTGATTACAATGTACTTGATTACAGTGTACTCGATTACAATGTAATTGATTACAATGTAATTGATTACTTGATCCTTAAGTCGGGTCCTCCCATAATTCCTTGAACATAATACTCATAGTAATACTGTGAATACTAATAGTAATACTAATAGTAGTACTAATAGTAATACTAATAGTAATACTAATAGTAATACTAATAGTAATACTAATAGTAATACTAACAGTAATACTAATAGTAATACTACTAGTAATACTAACAGTGGTCTAACTAACTATCGATGTGCATGACATAAGTACAGCTATATCCCCAACAAAACAAACATGGCCTCAGCAACACGCAACCATTCGGGTAGCTGGATCGAACTGCCTTATAATCGATCTATTGATTAAAACGTGCTGTGAATATTTTATTAGATTCTAACTTTAATTCCACACTGTTAACCAGGTTGGCCACGAAATCGATAAAAAAAATCGATAACGAAATTTTAACTGTTCAAAAAAAACAATCAGACGTTGAGTTTCAAGCCTATTTTCTTGCCGTTCCCTGTATTATTCTTATACAAATCAATACGCCTGGCCTAATCGATAATATAATCTAACCTGATCGATATTGTCAAGCCAGTTGATTTTGAGGTTCAGTAAATGCTCCTCGAATAATCGCTGAATTTTTTTTAACTGTAGGTCAACTGGCAGCCACGTAGACAGTTCATCACGGAGATTTTCGATCACGTAGATAGATGATCACGCGAAATTCAATCACATAACCACGTGATCACGCAGACATTTGGATCACGTAACCATCTGATCACGCTGTACAAGATTAATGTCCGTAGGTAGCAGTTTTCAAGCATCTCCCGCCGCCTCCAGAAGACGTCCACCTCCACCCCCCCCCCCCCCCCCCGTGACAAAATAGAAAATATAATTTCAATCCAAACGTACTAGATTATAGCAATATTTCACCAACCAATACAAAACTAAATCCCATGTGGGATCACAATTCAGAACAAGTACAGCTGGGTGCATGTGGGTATATGTGAGTAAAGGTGGGGACATATGGGTACAGGTGGGTACAAGCTACTACAGGTGGGTAGAAGAGATTAAAGGTGAGTAAAGTTGAGTACAGGTGGTTACAGGTGGGTAGGGTTGGGTACAGGTGGGTAGGTTTGGGTACAGGTGGGTAGGGTTCGGTACAAGTGGGTACAAGTGGGTACAGGTGGGTACGAGTGGGTAGGGTTGGGTACAAGTGGGTACAGGTGGGTACAAGTGGGTACAGCTGGGTACAGGTGGGTACAAGTGGGTAGGGTTGGGTACAGGTGGGTACAAGTGGGTACAGGTGGGTAGGGTTGGGTACAAGTGGGTACAAGTGGGTACATGTGGGTAGGGTTGGGTACAGGTGGGTAGGGTTCGGTACAGGTGGGTAGGGTTGGGTACAGGTGGGTACAAGTGGGTACAGGTGAGTAGGGTTGGGTACAGGTGGGTACAAGTGGGTACAAGTGAGTACAGGTGGGTTTGGTTGGGTACAGGTGGGTAGGGTTGGGTACAAGTGGGTACAGGTGGGTACAAGTGGATACAGGTGGGTTTGGTTGGGTACAGGTGGGTAGGGTTGGGTACAGGTGGGTAGGGTTGGGTACAGGTGGGTTCAGGTGGGTAGGGTTGGGTACAGGTGGGTAGGGTTGGGTACAAGTGGGTAGGGTTGGGTACAGGTGGGTACAGTTGGGTACAGGTAGGTAGGGTTGGGTACAGGTGGATACAACGGGTAGGGTTGGGTACAGGTGGGTACACGTGAATACAGGTGGGTATAAATGAGTTAAGTACAGGTAGGTACATGTGGGTACAAGTGGGTGATGCCTCTGTCTGGTTACAATTCCAGTTCGATGCTCAGGTGGGATTATGTGTGTGTGTGTGTGTGTGTGTGTGTGTGCGTGCATGTGTGTGTGTGCGCGCGCGCAAATCGTGTCAAGCCACACTCAGTTGTGTCTTCTCAAAAGCTGTTCTTCTGTACCTTCTGTAGCTTCTGTATCTTTGTCTCAGTTAGATCTAGGTGCTGTGAACAAATGCAATGTTTAATTTTACTCTTTCAGTCCGAATGCTTGCTTCCTCCTTCTGTGTCGTCACACTAATCACCTAATCATATAATCAATTAATCGAACAGCTCACTGAGCCACGATCTAACTATAAATAAACCCTAGACAAGTATGGAGAACTCAGATCAAATCACAGTGTTGTCTTAAGAGTACAATTTTTGCTACAATAAGTATGACCACAACAAGATATGACCACAATATGACCCTTATGACCACTTCACCCTGAAGCTCATAATGCGCCACTCTTTAGTTCCGTCTATTTTCTTACAGCTATAATTTTTTATTGATTTCAAAATCAGCTGACACCTGGACTAGACCTTTATTCTTGAGTAGACTGAAATCTAAGAAACTTACTGATAAAAAAAATTTAAATACTTAAGCTGTGATTATATTGGTGATTTCTTTACACTTTATTAACCAGTGCAGAGGCGTAACGACCCTTCCCGGCGCCCACCTCGAGAACAACCTTTCAATTTGCACCCCCTCCCCCTCAAACTTTCAATTTGCACCCCCCCCCCCCCCATGTATTTTTTTATATTTATAATGCAAAACTGCAGCTAAAATGAGATTTTGATTTGTTTTTCCAACCCATTTTGGCGCCCCCTAAGGTTGGCGCTCGGGGACATATGTAACCCCCCCCCCCCTCGCTACGCCTCTTAACCAGTGTACAGGTTTTGCACTCGCCTCTGGTACGTCAATATAGGAACAGATGATGCAGCAACACTAGGTTACAATTTGAAATGTTTGTGCTCATCAAACCAGTATGATTACACAGAATTTCCTCCAATAAGTAAAAACAAAAAATTCCACTTCCGTAACTTTTTTCAGTGGGTTGTTCAATAACACGTACAGTGATAAAAAGTTTGTAGGTCAGTTGGATGGAGGAAGTGTAAATCTGAGGTCAAGTTGAGAGTCAAGTGGGCAATGACAAGCAACTTTGTCATATGCGCCATTTTTCTTATAACCGTCACAGCTAATTAGACTCTAGATCTCAGATACATTGAGTAGACAGGTGTCCAATAGACTAGATCTCAGATACATTGAGTAGACTTAGGTGTGTCAAATAGATTCTAGATCTCAGATACATTGAGTAGACTTAGGTGTGTCAAATAGATTCTAGATCTCAGATACATTGAGTAGACTTAGGTGTGTCAAATAGATTCTAGATCTCAGATACATTGAGTAGACTTAGGTGTGTCAAATAGATTCTAGATCTCAGATACATTGAGTAGACTTAGATGTGTCCAATAGACTATAGATCTCAGATACATTGAGTAGACAGGTGTCCAATAGACTCTCTACCTCAGGTTAATTGAATGTTTAACTGTTACTCCTATCAAGTCATCATGACTTAAGTCCTACATTAAATGCGCTACATTTACACATGTTTACACATACAGCCACTCATTATTTCATTTTAAAATGTTTCACCATTTTGATGTCTGTTTTTTACAACAGTTGAAATAAAGTTGAAGAAATAAAAATCAAGCAGCTACACAACACATCATGTAACACACATCACATCACGCAACACACATCACATCAACACTTGAGCTTACACATTAGGACACCACTTTTTTTCTTAAACACTCAATAACTCAGTATACAAAAATAGATTTTTAATTTTCCCTTTTCATTGATAAATTTTTTTACAAAACCTTTTCTAAAACCTCCATTAAAATAACTTAACAATTGAATTATAATACTGTTTAATAAATAAACAATTCAATTTTGTTAGTAAAAGTTTACAGTTCCAAAACAAAAATATTTTCCAGTTACACTTTTTAAACAAGAACTTAAAACTTTTTGATAGCAAATTTTAACTTTGGGAAAATTGATTGAGTTTCTCACCCAATAAATAAAAGCCTCTGGTGGACTGTGTCCCAATTTTGATGAGACTGAGGCATGGCGAGTTTTTAAACCAAGACTTTTTAAATTCTATAACATTTTTTTCATTCTGGTGTTAAAGTGAGATCTAACCATTTTCAGCAGTCTACTTCAGGACAACAGTTGAGTGGATTTAATATTCCTCTCCCTCCTCTTCACCTTCACCCTGGACTGAGTCAACACCAACTTCTTCATAATCTTTCTCCAAGGCAGCCAGATCCTCACGGGCTTCAGAGAACTCACCTTCCTCCATACCCTCACCCACATACCTGGGAACGAACAAGTGTTAATTTTAAAGCCAAATTGAAAACAAGTAAATTTTTTTTACCAATACACAAATATGAATTACAAAAGTTACTATACATTATTAGAAACATCAAAATCAAGTGTACATACCAGTGGACGAAAGCACGCTTGGCATACATAAGGTCAAACTTGTGGTCAAGTCTAGCCCAGGCCTCAGCAATGGCTGTGGTGTTGCTCAACATGCAGACAGCACGTTGGACCTTGGCCAAGTCACCTCCAGGTACAACAGTTGGTGGCTGGTAGTTGATGCCAACCTAAAACAAAACAGTTTAAAATTTAGTCTCAGAACTTTAAACATAAAAAAATTTTAATATAAAAAATCATTCCTGAAGCTAATAATTTTGATAATAAAATCAAATTTTAAAAAGTTGTTGTTTGAAGTGTTTTTATTCTACATGTAAACACTGCTACTATCACACATTAAGAAAAAAAAACATAAATAAGTGATATAGCAATGTACCTTGAAACCAGTAGGACACCAGTCAACAAACTGGATGGTTCTCTTTGTCTTGATAGTAGCAATGGCTGCATTGACATCCTTGGGGACAACATCACCTCTGTACAACATACAGCAGGCCATGTACTTGCCGTGACGTGGGTCACACTTGACCATCTGGTTGGCTGGCTCAAACACAGCGTTGGTGATCTCAGCTACTGAGAGTTGTTCATGGTAGGCCTGAAGACATTTTCTTTTGTTAAAACTCAAACTTTAAATTCACAGCAATTTTTTAAACACAGGATTAATTAACTTTTTTATCTAACAGATGAAAATCAATAAACTTTTTTCAGTTTACCTTCTCAGCAGAGATGACTGGAGCATAGGTTGCCAGGGGGAAGTGGATACGTGGGTATGGCACCAAGTTGGTCTGGAACTCAGTCAGATCAACATTCAGGGCACCATCAAATCTGTTTAAGGAAAAAAGTCAAATTGCTTGAGGATTGTACATCATAAAATATAGGCATACTCGTTTGTTTTAAAGGATCAAACTTTTACAAATATAACATAAATTAGATCACAAACCTGAGGGAGGCGGTGATGGAGGAGACAATTTGACCAATCAGACGGTTCAAGTTGGTGTAGGTTGGTCTTTCAATGTCAAGGTTACGACGGCAGATGTCGTAAATGGCCTCATTGTCGACCATGAAGGCACAGTCAGAGTGTTCTAGAGTTGTGTGTGTGGTCAAGATGGAGTTGTAGGGTTCAACAACAGCTGTGGAGATCTGGAGAAACAAAAAATATTTCTTGAAACTATGCAGAAATAAATATTTTATGAATGTCTAACATATCAACGGAATGTTTTTGATCAACTGACATATCTAACGCACCTGAGGAGCTGGGTAAACAGCAAACTCGAGCTTGGATTTCTTGCCATAGTCAACAGACAGACGTTCCATCAACAGGGAGGTGAATCCAGATCCAGTGCCACCACCGAAGCTATAAACAAATGGATATTCTTTATTATACCATAGGAAAAACACTGTCAACTTTACTATTTACTATATACTCAAAGCTCTAGAGAAAGTACTTGTACTAAAGTTTCAATGTATCACCTGTGGAAGATGAGGAATCCCTGAAGACCAGTGCACTGATCGGCCAATTTTCTGATGCGGTCAAGGACAAGGTCGACAATCTCCTTACCAATGGTGTAGTGACCACGGGCATAATTGTTGGCGGCATCTTCCTTACCAGTGATCAACTGCTCTGGGTGGAACAGCTGTCTGTAGGTGCCAGTTCGGACCTCATCTATGATTTAAACAATCAATAGTTGAAATCAAATGATCTTTAAATTAATAAAAATCAAGAAAGCCTATTCAAGAAAAATTAATTTTTCATCTTATTTTAATTTGATGTACATTTTGTGAGCTATAACAAGACAATTTACCAATGACAGTGGGCTCCAGATCAACAAAGACAGCTCTTGGCACATGTTTGCCAGCACCAGTCTCACTGAAGAAGGTGTTGAATGAGTCATCACCACCTCCAATGGTCTTGTCTGATGGCATCTGACCATCTGGCTGGATACCATGTTCCAGACAGTACAACTCCCAGCAGGCGTTACCAATCTGGACTCCAGCTTGGCCAACATGGATGGAAATACACTCACGCTAAGAGAAGATATAAATGATAAAGTTTAAATTTAATTCAGTAACAAAATTAAGTGTAGTCAGAGTGTCCTATTGACATCGTCTAATCAAAACTGTAAAATCATACGTCTTTTCACTTTTCACATAACTGATCTTCAGCTCTGTACTAAACTGTACTTGAGTACTCATGACTTAGATCTATGAGTCTATGAGTTAAGTCAGTTAACTTATGTCGAGTAGTTCTACTCACAGATACCGAGATAGTGCAGACCTGATAGGGACTTATTACTTAAAGACATAGTCCAATAAAGTATTATGTCATGTAGCTTTCTTTAAGATGTAGCTAAACCCTATTACACTAAATTAACATTTGAATGGATTATTTTTGTTGACAAGTTTAGACAACACTTTTTGTGCACAGTACGCATGTCACGTTCAAACACGTTCCGTAACCGAGGGCAATGTTGCGGTGTCTGTGTTATATTACTCCATTAAATATTTATCTCTATTTCACAATATTGTAAATAAACTTAAAGCTGATCAAATTGATATTTTATTTAAAATATTTGAATCACTAATGTATTACGTCTTTAATGTATCTTATCTTAGCTAAAATCTAGAAGTATATACTGATACAAACAAACAGAGGGTTATTTTTTATTGCCTATGCAAAAAAATCAAAATGGAGTATTCTAGAATCGAGTACCAACACAAAAACTCTAACCTTGAAACACTTTTTAAAGAATGAAATCACTATTAATGTTAGGGTTAAATGTAATATACAAGTCAAAATTTACACAGTACTAGTTGCAGCACAATCTCAATAGTCTACAGATAAATGCAAAGTTACGTTTTAAAATTAATTCATTCTATTTAGGATACATGAAGAGTGGTATTGTTTATTAAAAGTAATACTGTAAATATTAAATAACTGAAATAATAAATTGGCAAACTACTTGTGATTAAAATGAATACTTACCATTTTGGTTTATTAGTCTTGAAGTATCAAAAAATATAAATGGTGTTAAACGGTTTGTATCAACGTCCCTAGAACACGACTGTAATGCGTCGACAAGGGGCTTGGTGATGACAACCAAACCTAGCCACCCGTATTTATACAGCACGAAGCTAAGCGCTGTTGCCATGGAGCTAACTGTAAACAGGAATGGCCGCTTCTTGTTTTGTGTATCGGTAACCCTAGTCTATTCAGGCGGTTAACTACCAGGCGGGGAATATAATGACAAATCTACGTAAATAGTGAACATGACACAGCTTGGCTGCAAGTTTGGCACCAATTTTGTAGGCATAGACCAACGACCTCTAGATCTCGTCATTTCATTAAGGCTGATTAATAGCAACTTTAAAATATAGTTTTATTTAGTAGACAACGTAGAACTATGAACAATAGATTAATATATTAAGTGTAGTTAACTATTTATAATCTAGAATGAACATTGTTTTTTAAATTATGTATTTATTTTTGTGACTTGCATCATTATGATCAGAGTAATAGTCCTACTATTAGAATGGGTACTTTTCCATTGTCTGGTCCCAAATGGCTATTGACTATTGGGCCTTATGTAAATGTGTATAATAAATGTAAACTTGATGATTGGTATCCCTAATGAGCCACTAACAACTTTTACCTTAACTGGCCATAGCTCAACAGCAATTAAACTTTTTTTTTGTTATTTACCCCTAGAGAGTTTTACTTTTGAGACAGCTGCCCCCCCCCCCCCCCCACACACACACACACTCACACAAACATAGACACACGCACACACCAATCTTACATGCACTCAAGCAACCAACTTAGTATTTGTTTTAAGTACTTAGGGGTTGTTAAATAATGCCACACACATTGTATGTCGATGTTGGTGGCTATGTGCCAGAGGCGTAGCGAGGGGGGGGGACATATGTCCCCGGGCGCCGATCTTAGGGGGGTGCCAAATTGAAAGTTTGAGGGGGGGGTGCAAATGAAAAGTTCGAGGGGATGCAAATCGAAAGTTTGTCCCCGGGCGCCGGGAAGCTTCGCTACGCCTCTGCTATGTGCTATGGAAGGGAGGGGGTGGGCCGATATATATGTAAGGTCGCATTAACATTTTATTCCTTCTTTTCTAACTGAACATTTTTCGGTGAATGAAAATGTTATTTTAGGCGGTGATGAAACGCTGTGACGTAATTCAAAGGGGTTACGGCGTTTCGTGATAATGTATGTTTGGGGGGAGTCGCTGCAATAAAGCTACATTTATTGTGTAATATTGTATAATTATTAGCTAAAAAAGAATGAAACGGTTTTGATTTCGGAAATCTATTTTTATTCTTTAAGTTGCCCCAAGACTATCTTAACCCCAAACAGGTTCGTGCATAGAACCGCTGCCATAATTGATCGAACCGCTGCTAATTAACAGTGCTTGACAACGAGCTATTGAGGCCAAGCAGTAGCCCTACCCCTAGTCCACCAAATCGAAATGTTTTTCTAATAAAAATCCAATTTAGGCCTACTCTGTATATTTAACAGTTGATTTGTAGGCTTATTACATTAGTATTTTAGTAACAATATTTTCTGGACATTTTGAGACTTCTTATTCCTTCATAAAAGCCAGTTGCGTTTTTCAGATTCATTGTTTCAACCCTTTATTATAAAGTGGCTTAGCTTTAGCTGTGGAATGCACAGGAACATTTATCGTTAATCGATTGCCAATCAATCCAAACAAGACTGTGCGTGAATTCCAAGTCGCACATGACACGACGCTATAGAAATAAGGTTGACCTAGGCGATTGGTTGTTCTACATATCGGGATCTACATGACAACAAACTGCTTGCCACGCTGTTCATTATTACCATATTCCTACGCCAAGCACGTCTTGTAGCGTGCGGCATGGTCCGTGGCCAGGGGTAACACACTGATGTGTTGTGTACACAAGTGACAGCAATGCCGTGCTACAAGTGACACACAGTTTACCGTGTGAAGGGTTAAGATAGTGGGGCAGTATTGGTCGTTTTCGTTTCGCTGACGCATACGTCACGTTCTAACCGGTACTTGAAGTTAGCAACAAAATGTACCAATCTTCGGAGTATACAATCTAGAATGACTTTGTGTTGATTAAAAGGATGTCTGTAAACACGCTAATTTCGAGGCAAAATAAAAATACTTTCTTCATTATAAAGAAATAATGAAAGAAAATGAAGGACCAAAAAATCCCATATTCTCCACACACCAACCCCCCCCCCCCCCCTTCAGAGTTTTTTCCGGGCAAGAAAGTCTACTCCCCCCCCCCCCCCAACGAAATGGAATGTATATAGAAAATATATACTACTTTTAACAGTTTCCACCACCCCCCCCCCCCCCCCGAAATAGGGTATATTATAGACTATAGATCTAGAACTACACGCAAGTGTAAATTAATTACGATAGAAACGTATTCACATAAAGCTAATTTCCGCCATCCAACCTAAAAAAAAATCGTCTTTAAGATCCAAATCCCCCCCCTCCCCACCCACATAAATATTCTATGTGAGTTTATTTTGCTTTTTCTCACCATTACTTGTTTACCTCATCACTCCCTTAATTTAGTTGCTATTATCATTCAAATAATTTAAACCTTAAGTACAAAAGCTTGACGTCAAATTTGGTCGACCCCGTAATACAGCAAGATATTTCCAGAGATAGAATCGTGGCAAGTTACTAAGTGTCTTTACCATTGTATGTGGTATGATTTGGATGAAGTGAGTGAAATAATTAAAGGGATGCTGAAGGTAGGTAGAGACAGATAGAGTCAACGGGGAAACATTAACATATTGGTCCCATAAGTAGTTGACATCTTTCTAATACCTTTCAAGTAGACTTCAGGCTTTCTTAACGAATTTTACCTTTTCCCCGTCCCTGCCGTCAGATAAGTCAGACCCTTCCCCTGAATTAAAGAGCTATTTCTTTATACAAATATTCACTTATTTCGGTGAGCATCAAGGCTATAGGTTAAAACTGATCCATTTTTTTTCGAAATTAGTTGAATTAGCCAAGTCTTTTTGAAATGTAAAGTAGCATCTAAAATTCACTACTGTCACATTTTTACACCCCCCCCCCCCCTTCCACTAAACCCTCCAGCTAAGAGGGTGACGTCGTATATGGATGACTCTAATATCATTTTCACAATCTTACTCAAGATTACGTACTGTATATTTTTATCTAATTTATAATGTATTCGTTCATGGTCAACCCCAACTTATTAGACCAAGTAACGGCCAATGCGAGTTATCTAATGTAGACTAGGCGAGTTAACCACGCTGAGTAATTATCTAAATATAACTTGATATCTAATTGGCTGTCCATGTGAATCTGTTTGGCGCACCAAGATAGTGGACGTAACACAGTGGCCTGTCATAGGCAGCGAGGATGTTAACAATAGCATCTTCACTTCTGGAACCTGTCAAGAGACAATAACGCTTACTTCGTTTTTGGGGGGCTTTTTGAAGCCCCCCAAATCATGGGCCAAGCTGACCCCGTAACAGGGGCGTAGCTTGGCCTGGTCAGAAGGGATCTGTGCACCCCCAGCGACCACGCCAACGCCTAATTTTAGGCGCTTTGTGGATGGGTGTATAGGCCCTGATGACCCCATCGGCCTACGGGTGTTGGCGTTCGTGTGAACTGTCACAACGTCACCTCGTATGTTGATGGGGTCAAATTTAAGCTACACGAGTATTTTGATTAGACGACCTTTGAAGTACAACAATCTTTCAACCATCGATGTCAGATTTACTGTAGTGGAGGAATTTAGTAACTTTTAAGGTTTTAGTTATCTATGAAATAAATCTACAGTTTAGATTTTTAACTATTGAAATATAATACTTCTTTGACCTGCTATTATGTGTGGGGGTGTGAGACTTCAGCATACTTTTTATCTTGAAAAATATTCTTTGGTCTAGATATACTCTGAATTTTTGTTTTTAAACTTACTAGTTCATACTACTAGTACTAGTAGGCCATTTTCCTTAGACAAGTTACACTACACGAAAATGTCAACAGAAGATGAATGTTCGTAGAAAAGCTGAAGTTTGGCTATGCATTATTTTTCTTTAGGTGTCTGTATTGTTTTGGTTCAAATTGAAGTGAAATACAACATAAACAAGACAGGACTATTGCTTCATTCCATGATGAAGTTTGAATGTTAATTGCTCCATTTAAATAAAAAATTCTAAGCGATAAAATCTGTATTTAAAAATATCTTTGAAGTTTACACATAGAAAAGTGATCTACAATAACTATGCAATGTCATTCAAAAACAAGTTTTTAATGTCACTTTCATAGACAAATTCTTCAAATAGAAAATTTAATAAAATTTATACATTTGTTGCCAGGATTTTGTACAGAATTTTTATACAATGAAACCCCAGCACTCATTGCTAGCTCTTTGTACAAAACAATTTTTACATCAAAGATCAAACTTTAGTAAATGCAATCACTTATGCCAGAAATTTGTACAAAAACTAACAATTGGAATGCTGAGTTTACAACAGTTGAGATTCCTTTAAGGGCAAAATAAGTTATCTTAAATTTCAGTGATCTTTTTACTATTTTCTGTAAACATTATTGTAGAAATATTTATGGTGTGAGGGGGATCTAATATTCCTCTCCCTCCTCTTCACCATCACCCTGGACTGAGTCAACACCAACTTCCTCGTAATCTTTCTCCAAGGCAGCAAGATCTTCACGAGCTTCAGAGAACTCACCTTCCTCCATGCCCTCACCCACATACCTGGGAATGAACACGTTTATTTTAAAACAAATGTGAAAATTCTTAAAAAAATAAATTGTTTTAACATCATACCACAAATTATATACAATCTACCATAAAGAATTATACATCTAAATCAAGTTTGCTTACCAGTGGACGAAAGCACGCTTGGCATACATAAGGTCAAACTTGTGGTCAAGTCTGGCCCAGGCCTCAGCAATGGCTGTGGTGTTGCTCAACATGCAGACAGCACGTTGGACCTTGGCCAAGTCACCTCCAGGTACAACAGTTGGTGGCTGGTAGTTGATGCCAACCTTGAAAGAGCGATTAACATGTTAGCAAAAGAAACTCCTGCTGTCTTACCCTCGTACCCATAGCTAAACGAAGTAACAAAACTATTTATTTTCCATAGTAATCCCAGTAAGAATTTTTTGTGTGCTAAGCTTTGAAATAATATAAAATTGGACTCATTAATTTTAAGATTTGTGGAAATCATGAATGGAACATTGCTTCCATCTTTTAAATAAGTAAGATATAAATATAATATATAACATATAGTTAGAACCCATGACATTCTTTGTCAAATAGGAACAAATTGATGAACAACAAAGTAATCTGGAAAATAACTTAATCTAGAACTACTACCAAAGTAGAATGGATTAGGATAAATTAAGTTGAATATGTTCAGTTTATTTTTTTGAAAATGTGTTCAGGTCAATAAACTAAGATTGAAACTACAATCAAATACCTTGAAACCAGTTGGACACCAGTCAACAAACTGGATGGTTCTCTTTGTCTTGATAGTTGCAATGGCTGCATTGACATCCTTGGGGACAACATCACCTCTGTACAACATACAGCAGGCCATGTACTTGCCATGACGTGGGTCACACTTGACCAGTTGGTTGGCTGGCTCAAAACAGGCATTTGTGATCTCAGCTACTGAGAGTTGTTCATGATAAGCCTAAAAAGAGTTAATGCAAAGAATGTAATAGAATTTATTCAAATCTTAAAAATCCTAATATAAGTTAACATTAGCTAAGTGGATGATATATTAATTTCATAATCGAAAAAAAAAGCAAAAATATTTCAGGAACAGTTACCTTCTCAGCAGAGATGACTGGAGCATAGGTTGCCAGTGGGAAGTGGATACGTGGGTATGGCACCAAGTTGGTCTGGAACTCTGTCAAATCTACATTCAAGGCACCATCAAACCTTAAAAATAAAAATTATTCTAAATCAATTACACTTTGAATTTAAACCAATGAGCTACAAAATAAAAAACAACTCAAGAGAGGTAACTCCTATTTTTAAAAATTCTCAAATCCTTTACTTTTCAGAACAATGAAATTTTGTCTTTGTAAGCCTTGATCTTACAATGATTCATCTAAAGGTTATACAACTACCCAAGTAGTGAAGGCATTAAAGTGAATAAAGAAAATCAATCCCCAAATTTTACAAATCCTAAAACCAAAACTTTTTTAGGTCTGAACTATAAAAAGTTGTAGAAGTGTCAACTTGTATGCCTGCTCTTACAGCATACCCAGGTATTTAACATTTAGTACTTCTTATACTGAGTTAAATAAGTTGTGTGGTAGCTTACTGTTAAATAGTACATATTTTTCTAACCTCAATGTCTTATATGGTGTGCACAATCACTAATAAAAAATGTCAGTTACATCTTACAGCTTTGGCCAAGTGTATTTTAACAGCAGTTTATTAACAGCCACAACACAATTCTAAAAACTATTTTCTCTTATGTCATCCCTATCCCCTTGAGATAATTGATGACAAAAGAAATATGAAAGCTCATAAGTTGTGTAGCAGATATTCAGAAATGTTTTTTACTATTAACTTATTTCAGAAACAACGCTAACACTTATGTTTGTAATTGGCCCATACAGCATTTAAAATTGTCATTTTCTTAACTGATGCAAGAAACCAAATCTATAGCATTAGCAAATTTCGAGCTCTTTCTGGATTACTTACCAAGTTAATATTATTAATTACCATTTATTGATATGAGAAAAATATTAAACAAGACTTATTTTATATAGATCTAGATCTACCTATTGACAACCTAATAAAGAAAAGAAAATGTTGCAGTGATCTGAGATGTCTATGTGATGTCCAGTACACAGGGCTAGTACACTTAAAGACCCATAAAATCATAGCCTAAATTGATTCCTAGAATGCTTAAGATTTTTTTTTAAAAATACAAACCTAGAAATTATACAAAAATAATCCAGAATACCAGGATATGCTGAATTATTATTGTACGAGCCGACCCGCGGCGTATCATACGCCGCTATTTAGTTGTTTTATTTTCTATTTTTCAGTAATTCATAATTTGTGAATTCGACAGTACCAATGCTGCCACTGAAAATATTTGCTTTAAAACACTAACCCCCCCTTTCCCCTAACCCCGACCCTACACCCCCCCCCCTCCCCCGTGAAAGTAGCCTCCTCTTGGTTACCTCCTGTAAGTTTAAAATCGTTTCAAACTAAATTATCTGCCCCTAATAGCCGTCACTAAACCCAGCTCTACGATTTGTAAACATTTAGTTTGACTACAGCTCACCAGACCGTGTGGGGGTGGGGTGGGGGTGGTAGTAATAGTGATAGAGAGAAAGAGGGTACTGCAAGGAGGCGCTTGCAGCTTGTTTTCTAACGTCTCCCAGAAGAGAATTATATATATAGATACTATTTTAACTCAAACATAATAAACTTAGAAATTGAAAAAAAACCTTTTCAACTGGCAGTATCAAAAGTAAAAACTTTCCCCCTGTACTGTTACATTTTTTAGTAAAAGAGTGCATATTTTCATATTCTAGGTGAATTTTTTGTTTAATGTATACATTCAGCTAAAGATTGATTTGGTGAAAAAGTAATTACCTTAGAGAGGCAGTGATGGATGAGACAATCTGTCCAATCAAACGGTTCAAGTTGGTGTAAGATGGTCTTTCAATATCAAGGTTACGACGGCATATGTCGTAAATAGCTTCATTGTCGACCATGAAGGCACAGTCAGAGTGTTCTAGAGTTGTGTGTGTCGTCAAGATGGAGTTGTAGGGTTCAACAACAGCTGTGGAGATCTGGAGAAACAAATATATTACAATTAAAATGCCATTAGTATCACTATACAGGCAATAAAATGGAATCACTGAGGCAAGCTGAAAACTAGAATCATCAAGATGAATATTAAGTGTAGTTAGTTGAATACAAAGCTAATTCTGCTAATTGTTCAAAAGTAGGTCTGAAATACACAGGGATGTGACAAGACCAGGAAAAAATATTAGGAAATTTTCTTCAGACAAGAATTCAACGTTTATCTATTTTTTTTATCGCATTTTAAGCAGTCTCACGCCGTTACTGTACTAATTAAATGTTTAATGAAGCTAATATTTTAAATAAGACGATGTATTCTTATACTCTAACTTAACATTGAAAGTCTTGTCTAATTGCAATTTAAAGTTTACCTTATAAACAACCTTAAAAGAAATTTACAATTTTATTTTAACATTTCGCTAATTTAAACTGTACTAATCTAGTGAAGTTGTACAATTGTTTTCAATTTTAAATTATGCCTTATATTATTCATTTAAAGATTGGCATGGAAAAAATGTTAGTCTTCATCAACAGTAAACAGCCTAGATTTAGATTAATTATCATTTGAAAGTTTTAGGTTCATGTGATGGAAAATGAAATTGACCAGATTAGTTTGTAACATTTTAATAGCCAAACCGAAGACATTCCTGTAAGAAACTCTGATAACAGCAGTCACACATAGCGCATATTCGAGTGTCCGTTAGGCCCATGTACTGAAAGTTACTTTAAGCCTCGATTTAAATACATAGAGGTCGTTTCCGTTTTTTCTCCTAATTTTTAAACTCGTACAAAATCGTCAAAAATCGGCTGAGAAATTCGGCGACAATGAAATCATCGCAGGAAAATTGCGGTTGAAACGGAAAAATCTGATTTCCAATAAAATTCGGAAAAGTCACATCCCTGAATACACTAAATTGACAAAATTATTCAAAAACTAAATAGACTACAGACACACAAATCAAATGTGCCACAGGGTGAATTGAACGTCATGCATATGAAAAGTAACATGTCTGAAATGATGAATTTAACATACCTGAGGAGCTGGGTAAACAGCAAACTCGAGCTTGGATTTCTTGCCGTAGTCAACAGACAGACGTTCCATCAATAGAGATGCAAAGCCAGAGCCAGTGCCTCCTCCAAAACTGTAACATAAGAACATTTTCTAACTCGAAGTGGTTCTAACTAAAAGTAGTTACCATCCAGCAAATTGAACTATGATAAAAAATAAGAACTACAAATTCAAAGGATATCCTACCTGTGGAAGATGAGGAATCCCTGAAGACCAGTGCACTGGTCTGATAACTTTCTGATGCGGTCAAGAACAAGGTCAATGATTTCTTTACCAATGGTGTAGTGACCACGGGCATAGTTGTTGGCGGCATCTTCTTTACCTGTGATCAACTGCTCTGGGTGGAACAGCTGTCTGTATGTGCCAGTACGTACTTCATCTGAAATTTACAGTGAATGTGTTGTGCAATATGTTAAAGACCGTGATTAACTTTAGTTTTTAAAAAAAAAATTAAGTCATGGATTGATCAAAATGCTCACCAATGACAGTGGGTTCCAGATCAACAAAGACAGCTCTTGGCACATGTTTACCAGCACCAGTCTCACTGAAGAAGGTGTTGAATGAGTCATCACCACCTCCAATGGTCTTGTCTGATGGCATCTGGCCATCTGGCTGGATGCCATGTTCCAGACAGTACAACTCCCAACAGGCATTGCCCATCTGTACTCCAGCTTGACCAACATGGACAGAAATACACTCACGCTAAGAGGATAAGAAATTAAATATAGATTTCAAAAACTTTTTTTTTTAAACCAAAAAATTTAGTAAGTATTGTGTACATGTAAGAAGCCAGAACTATGATCAAGACTACTGAGTCAACTCAGACAAGTATTAAGACTGCATAGTAAACACACAACAAAAGCATAGACAAAGACCATTAAAAGATTATAGGATAGATCAATTTGGTTAAATCTCTGTACCTTGAGATGCAATGTGTTACATAACATTTTTCCCATTGAAATTAACTGAAATGCCATTAAACCATTCCAGCACCCAAAATGCAACCCCCTTGTTTTTGTACGTTTTTTTAAAATAAAGCAAATTTATGCATGATACTAACATAATACAGGGTAATGCAAATAAATAGACTTGTTTTATAAAGTGTTTATCTTGAAAATCAGCAGACTTGAGCTTATTGAAGATACTGGTAAAGGTGTAGGCCAGAGGTGGAGATCGTTGATGGAGCTTTACTTTGTGAACTGTTAACTTTGGTAAGCTAGTTCAGTCCCTTTAGTTGACTAACTTGTTACACTCTTTACGCTAAACTTTATCCCTCAACTTAATGGAAAATAAAATTCCACTACCATAAATTTGAACCTTATTACTACTATATAATGTCAAATCTTTTATATGTCGGAGCTATTGTATGTCGGAGCTATTGTATGTAGATATACCATATTATGTCAAATTGTGGATTAAATTTTTTTTAAAACTATAGGCCTACTTATAGCCTATAGGCACCTAGAGAAATTTTTTTCAGGACCTATTTATATGCCTAAATAGTAAATAGGAATTATTGTTGTGCTCAATGTACTGTAACATAGCCTAGATCTATATGTCCATATGATATAGCTAACACTTTTAAATTTAACACTCATTCAAATTTTTATGTAGGCCTACTTCCTACCCAAATTTCATCATATCGTGGTAATAAACTAACAATAGTCCACAGCTAGATATAGGCCTAATCCCTAATACTAATAGATCTTAAAAATATTAAAATTGATCTAGATCTAGAATCTAGATTAGATAGGCCTACAGTCCATATTAAAATGAAGCCAACAGAATTATCAATCAAGGGAGCTAAATGGGAAAAAAATATATAGATCTAGATCTATTTATTATGGGCCCTAACTAAATCTAAATAAACTAGATCTAGATCTAGATATTGAAGATTTTTTTTATAGCAAAGTCAGCTACTTTTTACTTTTACTGGTCTGGTAGATCTCTAGACTCTAGAATACTTTAACTTTTAGTTAGTAGGCCCTACAGTACAGATTTATAATTAATAACAGAATATGGTTGAATATATTATATTTTATATGATGCCAATCTAATCATATTATTATTATTTATTATAGACGCAAGGCTCAATATCTAAATTTTGACTTCAATGCGACCTTTTCTTATCTTGTATGCTTCCCATGCCTTGTACTGCCTCCCGCGTATTCCTAATTTATTTTTATTGGCAACTTTTAGGTTTTAACCAAAAACCAAAAGCCCAGGCGTCAGAATAAAACAAGAACTAGACATCTAGTGAGTCTGGATGGCTTAACTTAGTCTTAGCCTCTGGGTTCTAGACCTAGGAGGGGAAATGCCACTCTTAATTTTATATTTCAAGTTTCGCATCACTTCTCTTTTCAAAAAAAGCATGGCCGACGTGATGGCGCAGTTTGGTTGAGATACCAGCGGGATGACGAGGCGTGATTTAAAAATTAAAATAAATCGTCATGCAAATAGAAACTGTTACAAAATATAATCAAATAATGGTAAATATGAAAACAAACACGTGTATTTACCATTTTTAGGATTTAGGATGAATTTCAATAAAATTAAAAGATAATTTTATCTTTACAAAGAGTCCCTAAGTTCCGACGGCAAGGTGTCGAGTAGGGTCTGATTCTGGCTTGATCCGGTGTGCTCTGCAGTATTTATACCCATCCAAAATGGTATCCATGGTATTCAGTGTAAACAGAAAAATGGCTGTCAAAATCCGGTACACGCAAATAAAATGTAAATCATACAAAAAATAGGTTTCTTTCTTTTGATGTTCATCAAAGAAATTGTGTTCAAACAAAATTAAAGCGCTCAACAGCTGATGTTGATTACGGAGATGTTAAGAAATGATTCATATCATTTCATTATTAATAATGTTTGTTGAATGTTCAGTATATAGCAAATAGACCTACACTAATTTACAGATTTAGGCATATACTAATAACTAATATTAATACATATTAGTCTAATATACTATACTAACTATACTATAATAGTGTATAGAAGAGTACTATAGACTATAGTGTATATTAACCTGGGTTCTTTCGAACCCATTTGGTTTGGTGAGTTTTTTCTCATAGGTTTGGCGAAAGTCAAGACTCAAAGCACCCCCGACTCACAAGATTCACGATCGGCGGATTTTGTGAGTGCGGACGATGGAACTGTTGAAAAAAAATGCGGTCGGTCAATGCGAATATGAAACTCGTGGGTTCAGTACGTCCAAGAAATTTAAGTTAATTTCCGTGCCGATCAAAAACCCACCTATAAAATAGTTAAATATTAATAATAATTAATACGAGCCGGTCCGCGGCATAACATACGCCGCTATTTAGTTGTTGTTTTTTCTACTTTTCAGTAATTCATAATTTGAGAATTTGACTGTACCAACGCTGACACTGAAAATATTTCTTTAAAACACTATAAGTATCTCGTTAAGGACCATAACCCCCCCCCCCCCCTTTTAAAATCGTTTCAAACTAAATTATCTGCCCCTAATAGCCGTCACTAAACCCGACTCCACGAAGGTAAACATAGCGTGAACCACAGCTCACTAAGACCATGTAGGGGTGGGGATGGTAGGGAGCGCGTTTACAGCTTGTTTTCTAGCGTCTCCCAGAAGAGAATTATATATATAGATTATTAAATAAGAAATGAAAATTAGAAAAATGTAGTTATGTAGGTAGGCTAATGCTAAGTTGACTTGGTCAAATTTTAAAATAATAATTAAGGAAGTTTCGACTTATTTTTAATTTCTAATTGTAGCCTAAATAAAACATTAAACTTTACCAGTGTTTCTTCCAGACTTTTTTCTCCGGGGGGGCACTTGAAATTTTCGGGGGGGGGGGGGCGGTAGACTTTCTTCGGGGGGGGCGGACACTGTTAAAAGTATATATTTTCTATATAAATTATATAAATTTCATTTCGTTCGGGGGGGCGGTAAAAAATTTTCGGGGGGGGCTTCGCCCCCCCGAAGAGATGCCTGGAAGAAACTCTGAACTTTACGCTTGCTAAATAAATACCTAATAACAGGCTACCCCAAGGGTCGGCAACCAGCGCTCGCGAGCCGCATGCGGCTCTTTTGATGTCAGGACGCGACTCTCCAGTTCCATAATAATTATATTATTATATGTTCATAACTCATAAACATATTATACTGTAAAAACAACATTAAACAAGATAAAAGCACTAAGAATAGGTGGAGTAGAGCGTATTTTTTAGTATACAGGCAGCTGCTTACCAGCTCCACAACTATGCTGTGGCCAGCCCCGTCGCAGTGGTTCCATGCTTTCCACTACAGAAGTGCACGTTTTTTTTTTTCAATAGTAATTGTTATTTTATTCAGAAGGCTTTTGTTTGTGTCACTGTGCATTAATCTGATTTGATTGACATAGTTTTTTAGTTATTAGCTTCTAAATTGTGTAGGGATAGTCACTGCTATAGTTATATAATTTGATTTTATTATCCTAGCAGAGCTAGCAAAAATACTTAAATATGTTTTGTGCGAAACATGCATAAAGTTTTATATGAATAAATATTATTTCATACTTAAACACATTTATTTTAAAATCATTTACCTAATCAAAATCAATACCATAATATTGACAAAAAAATGTTAGTGGCTCTTTAAAAACTGGGAGATTTTGTACATTGTAACTTTTGGCTCTTCCGTCTCAAAAGGTTGCCGACCCCTGGGCTACCCGCATCTTTCTTTAATTAACTATCAATAAAAATCGCGCCACCCTTCAAAAAGTTTGAATGGTTTTATGTTGTTGTTGTTTTTTTATCGGCCTATATAAGTGTTTAAATAACGTCACGATCCCGTTGACTAAGTAAATTTTCTAGGAAGTTTCAAACAAATAAATAGATCAGTTAACGACGACTAAAATGTAGGTATATTCACTTGTCGTCCCAGTACACTTCTTTACCTTGATGCCTCTATTGCAATAATGTCTCTTGTCCTATAATGTTACTTTTTCATAGCCGTCCAGCTTTTTTTAAAGCTACAGGAAAGTATAGCTAACGATGACAGTAGTAGTCTAGTAGTATACCAATACCAAAGTACATAAGCTGTGACATATAAGCCTATTAAGACCTCAGTGGCGTAGCTAGGAGGCGGTGATGACGGCCGCGGATCCTTGGGGAGCGGCAAAATTGGTAGAGAAAAAAAAATTAAAAGCCTTATTTTAATATGCAGTTTTGAATGACACACAGTCAAAGTTGAGAAAATTAACGACTACAAAGGCTTTACACTCTGATGTAACTGTTTTCTACCATGCTAAACCCCTCGCCAACTTTTTCTAAGATCAGAAACATTTACTTGTTTGGAATACATCGTGATCAATTGTATTTAAGAGAAATAAATATCACAGGTTTTCTGTCGCTATCTGACCAGTGAAATAGCATAGGTTGGGGTGGAAGTCGATACGGTTTGGTCTAAATTATAAGAACTTAAGAAAAATATAACAAAGCATTCTACATTTAAAATTACCGAATACATTTTTTGCTACAAAATTAGTAAATTGTACTAAGACGAGAGACAGGGGGGGGGGGGCGGTATGATTATTTCATAACCTAATACTGCAATTTCCATATAGTTAAGGCTACTAAAAATGAGGTACAACGTCTGGCCACGGTACAACATGACCTCTGCTACGGCTTTGATTATCAACTGCTGCTGATTATCCAAAACTTTTTCAATATTGTTCTAAAGACAAGGCCAAAAATGTAACTTATTCTTCTACAAACAACACTCTAAACTTGTTTTATAAATTTATTTCGGCTGTCTAAGCAGCTTAGGCACCATTTTGTCAACTAACTTCTTAGTTCAAGCCCTGAAAATCCAGCATCCCCCATTTTTATCAAACGATTTCTTTCGTGATTTCTGTCCCCCCGTCCGTCCCCCCCCCATCTTTTCTACACCAGCGCCTCTTTAGTGTTGTTACTGTACTTCTGGGTTTGTCTTATAACCACCACCTTTTCCTTTCTCTTTATTTCCTTTCATTATTTAATGAATCCGAGCCATACACTAAAACAGACTTCACATTTGTGCTAAAAATCCTGAGTTAAATTTGCTTAATTGGTTTAGAATGTTATAAGCGTTTTATCGATGCTAATTCTAATCTGAATGTTTTGGTCTTTTCACTATCAGTAGACTAATTTTACTCCTTAAACCAGTATAAAGTTCTAGAAGGTGGAGCACATCTACCAAACCGTCAATTTATTTATATATCTTGTGTTCCTTGTCATGGTCCCTTACATTTACTTATAAAGGTTTTGACTCTTACTCCTAATAAATGTCAAACGAACGGGCCGGCCCAAACCTTTTGTTTCCCCCCAATGATTAATTTAATTACAACTAGTGTTGTCAGGTACTTGACTCTCACTATGATCAAAATAGTGCTGTCTACATACTTGCTCAGTTATCAGTCCTAAAGATGGATTTAATGGCTTGGTTTTTCTAAAATTGCCTCAATTCTCATAGGAGAAATCTAATTTAAAAAGCAAACAGCAGATTTCTTGTTGGCTGTGTGACTATTATTATATTATATTTAAAAATAATCTTATAATCAGTACACTTAAAAAAAACAACCAGACAAACAATTCATCAAAAAGTACAAATAAGTTTAATACTTCTTCCAGCTTCAACAATATAGATAGCAACAATAAGTTTTAAACATTGTACATTAAAAAAAATCAGTTCAAATACTCTATACATGTGGAATGCTGCATTCAATATTTCTTAAAAATTAATACTTTTATTAGTTACAAATGTTTACATTGTAACAAAACAAATCACATACTATTTTTTCTGAATTAAAACAAAGATAAAAATAAATCATAAAAATTTGGTAATTAGAAATCTTAAATCTTTTAAGTATAAAATTATTTAAAGCTAATTATTAACTAACTTAAAGGTTAAAGTTGGAATGAGATAATAAATTTAATTTTAATATTCTTCTCCCTCCTCTTCCCCTTCATTCTGGACAGAATCAACACCAACTTCCTCATAATCTTTCTCCAAGGCAGCAAGATCTTCACGAGCTTCAGAGAACTCACCTTCCTCCATGCCTTCACCCACATACCTTAAAGAAAAATATATATAGTAAAACCACATGTTTTAAACAAGAAAATAATATAAATTGTAAGTTACAATTATGACTGTAAAGATTGATTGATTATTGTGCTATTAACAATTTTCCGAGTTCTATGACTTACATAGCAATTAAATATTTATACTACATGGGGAGTATGGACCTAAAAGTAATTTATTAAGAAAAAACTTACCAGTGAACAAAAGCACGCTTGGCATACATAAGGTCAAACTTGTGGTCAAGTCTGGCCCAGGCCTCAGCAATGGCTGTGGTGTTGCTCAACATGCAAACAGCACGTTGGACCTTGGCCAAGTCACCTCCAGGTACAACAGTTGGTGGCTGGTAGTTAATGCCAACCTGAATAACAAGTAAATCAGTTAATGTATGTCACTGCAAATATTTGAATGTGAGCTCCATTAATTACAATAAAACAGAAACACTACCTTGAAACCAGTTGGACACCAGTCAACAAACTGGATGGTTCTCTTTGTCTTGATGGTAGCAATGGCTGCGTTGACATCCTTGGGGACAACATCACCTCTGTACAACATACAGCAGGCCATGTACTTGCCATGACGTGGGTCACATTTTACCAGTTGGTTGGCTGGCTCAAAGCAGGCATTTGTGATCTCAGCTACTGAGAGCTGCTCGTGATATGCCTGAAAGGATATGAAACAAGCTTAAAATGTAATTTCTAATAGTTAATATTTATATACACATTACACTTCTGTATGTTATAAAGTATGCCCTCACTAAAACAACATTGTATGTTTAAATGAAATTACCTTCTCAGCTGAAATGACTGGTGCATAAGTGGCAAGAGGAAAATGAATTCGAGGGTATGGCACCAAGTTAGTCTGGAACTCTGTGAGGTCTACATTTAGTGCACCGTCAAACCTGTAGAACAAATTTATAGAACATTTACAATATGAAACTGCAAGTTTTAATTTTAAGGGAACTCAACTGGTTTCAGAGTAAAATTGAGCTCCAATAGCTTACTTTAACATATTGGTATTTAGAACAAACATTCCCTATTTACTTAATTAAGCTAGGAAAAATGTTTCATTCAATCTACATTGAGAAAAAATAAAATTACCTAAGTGAGGCAGTGATGGAGGAGACAATTTGACCAATCAGACGGTTCAAGTTGGTGTAGGTTGGTCTTTCAATGTCAAGGTTACGACGGCAGATGTCGTAAATGGCTTCATTGTCGACCATGAAGGCACAGTCAGAGTGTTCTAGAGTTGTGTGTGTCGTCAAGATGGAGTTGTAGGGTTCAACAACAGCTGTGGAGATCTGTGGACATTTAACCAAACATGTTTGCATTTCATAATACTTCCAAATAATTATTTTTTTTTTTAGTATTTTTCAATAGCAAAAAAAAAAAAAAACCATCAATTATTACAGAAACAGTTTGAAAAAAAAAACGTATATGAAAGACAGTATATTTACCTGAGGAGCTGGATAAATAGCAAACTCGAGTTTGGATTTCTTGCCATAGTCAACAGACAGACGTTCCATCAACAGAGATGCAAAGCCAGAGCCAGTGCCTCCACCAAAACTGTGAATTTAAATTATTTTGTTCTGATAATGCAGCAAACCAAAACTTGTAGATAAAACCAAACTTTAAATGCAAAAAGTATACTCTACCTGTGGAATATGAGGAAACCTTGAAGACCAGTGCATTGATCTGATGATTTTCTGATGCGGTCAAGAACAAGGTCAATAATTTCTTTACCAATGGTGTAGTGACCACGGGCATAGTTGTTGGCGGCATCCTCTTTACCTGTGATCAACTGTTCTGGGTGAAACAGCTGTCTGTAGGTGCCAGTTCGGACCTCATCTGAGATTTTAGTTTAAATTAATTTTTCATTAACATGTACACAAAGACTATTTTAACACAGTCAATCCTCCGTTTCAGTGAACAGGAAGCAGGAAATAGTGAAAACTCACAAAAATTATACAAAATTAATTACGGATGCAGTTGAATGCTCACCAATAACAGTGGGTTCCAGATCAACAAAGACAGCTCTTGGCACATGTTTCCCAGCACCAGTCTCACTGAAGAAGGTGTTGAATGAGTCATCACCACCTCCAATGGTCTTGTCTGATGGCATCTGACCATCTGGCTGGATGCCATGTTCCAGACAGTACAACTCCCAGCAGGCATTGCCCATTTGGACTCCAGCTTGACCAATGTGAATAGAAATACACTCACGCTGTAAAATAAAAATACAAAGATTTAAATAGACACTATTTAATTCAACATATTCAACTACTATCTATATTCATCCACTATATATTTATATTCAATAACCAAAACAACGTAAAGCACATTTACTGAAATAAAATTATACTATCTAAACTCATCCAAAAAATTAGTGACTTAGGCCTAATCACACTAATCAGATCTAATTAAATGGGCATACCAGCAGTAAAATAAAGTAATCCTTGAAAACATTTTCTTATTTTTAAAAACAGTACTTTATCCAGCCTTTTACTCTTTTTCTGTTCCTTTTTTTTGGTAGTTAAATTTTCCAAATAAAAATCAAAAGCATTAGGCTATCTAAGGCTAATGACAAAGACTTTTATACAGAATAAACTTAAATGTCATTAAATGACCATAACTAAATAGACAAACAACTCTAACTAAACTAGGCCACCATTGTAGGCCTTGAATATATTAATGGATAAGGCACAGCAAAGACTAGACATCTGGGCCTAGGTCTATAACCTTGACACAGAAGTTTTAAATGGCTCTTTAAATTTAACCTCTGCGTTGGCGCCAGAAAATAAAAATCTAGAAATCTAGAATGATCTGAGAATAATACGCATTGCCCTGTATTCAATGATTAAATGATAGCCTAGTAACTATTTTAGATAAAATTACACAGAAGGTAGAGTTATCTCTAACTAGATCTAGATCTCTAGATCTAGCATTTATTCTAGATAATCTACGACTCGACAAAAATATATTTTATTATCAAGCAAGGCAAGACAATGTCCCATTCCATCATGGCGGGTCGCGGCTTCGAATGAATGAGGTCTATTTTCTAACTTGTTTTTCTGATGTATTTTCTTTTTAGTTAGATCTATAATGCACTATCAATGTTTGTTATTTATAAAAGGCCAATACATACCATTTTTTTCTGTTTGTATTAAAGTAGCTGAAATTATATTAGTAAAAATTCGTGTCCGATATCCCCACACACGACAGTAATGCGTCGAACAGGGTTTGGCACTAATGACGAACTAGAGCAACCGAAGTGGTTTATACCGGCGTGCGCAACATCCGTACAACATTGAGCCAATGGCTACAAAATACAGATATCTCGACGAGGCCTAGGCCTAGACTTTTTTTTTGCTTTGTTATGTCGAGATTCTAGATCTAATTGCAATTTATTTAGATAGAAATGGGGGTATTAATACTAGTTTATTTGTAAAAAAAAAAAAAAACAATTTAAAAAACAGATTCGATTGAATAATTTAGATCTAAGTTTACAAATTGGCTTTCATTGCTTTTATACCTTGTACTTTTGATGATTTTATCATGTATGTAAGTAATCAAAACGACGAAACACAGTCGGTCCCATTCGAGTGGATGCTTTTTTACAAGCTTTTATTTATATCATGTCTGCATATCTGTGCGTCAGATTTATGTTACTCAGATTTGACCCACTTCTAATGCAGCGATTTCGTTCACTTTCCATTTACATTCAACGCCGAAGACAATGCAACAATATACAATTTTTGGTGTAATCAAATTAGTCATTAAAATTATTTAAAAGCATTTTATAAAAATTTCAACAACAAAATGGGAGATCAAGGGATTCAGTATAACTATAAAACTTATATCGGGACATAAAATACACGTATACTACATAGGCCTACATTTCAGTGATTATAAGCTTAACATTGAAGTGTGACACAGATTGTTACTACGAAAGTGAGATGTGGACAGGGTCGAAGGACAATGTACGCAGAAGACGACGATCCAACACACTTAAAAATTAAGACAGAACGCCGTAGTTCGTAGTTTAATTGCATACGACGGACACGATTAAATCGACGACGACATTCACAGACATCCACACCCTAACGCTACAAGACCAAGACTGATTTCAACTCCCTCACCTAACGACCAAATCATACTCCCACTCATCATATCCTTAGTTGCCTCGTCACATTCAACATCTTTTATTAATATAACACATTCCACTACACACATACTCTCATACCCATTCAGTACACTACAATACCATTCACAACACAGATCACCAGTTTAAACGTAGATCTTGCGTGTTCACCGCGATGGCGGATGTTTACATAGTGACGTCCAGAGTTTCTTCCAGGCATCTCTCCGCCCCCCCCCCCCCCGAAAAAATTCTACCCCCCCCCCCCGAACGAAATGAAATTTATATAATTTATATAGAAAATATATACTTTTAACAGTGTCCGCCCCCCCCCACTAGAGTGGATTCGGTGACCTTCTATTGAAGCCCGGGATACGAACTCGAGACTTTTGGGTAAGCAGTGGTACGCTCTACCACCCGACCACACTACAATACCATTCACAACACAGATCACCAGTTTAAACGTAGATCTTGCGTGTTCACCGCGATGGCGGATGTTTACATAGTGACGTCCAGAGTTTCTTCCAGGCATCTCTCCGCCCCCCCCCCCCGAAAAAATTCTACCCCCCCCCCCCGAACGAAATGAAATTTATATAATTTATATAGAAAATATATACTTTTAACAGTGTCCGCCCCCCCCCCCCCCACTAGAGTGGATTCGGTGACCTTCTATTGAAGCCCGGGATACGAACTCGAGACTTTTGGGTAAGCAGTGGTACGCTCTACCACCCGACCACACCGCCCCCTTACCGTCGTAATTGGATGACTCCTCCTTGTCCAATCTGGCCCAGATCCCTGCTATGGCGGCCGTGGTAGAAGACATACACAACGTTCTTTGAACTTTGGCAAGGTCACCCACTGGTGCGAGGCTCAGGGGTTGATACCAGCCTGTTCATGCGTCAACATCACTTAATTAATTAATTACATTATATTTACATTATATTGTTTTCGTAATTTAACAGGGGAGGGGAATTAAAAAAAGGCGTTACACCTTTTCCGACATTTTTTTTACCCCCATCCCCCGTCACATATCATCTCAAACCCCCCCCCCCCCCCCCCAAAGGATTGATCAAAAGAAACTCTGACAACAACAGCTGTGAAGAGCTGAGGACATTTAAAATTCGTTGATGGTATTTCAAATATTTTCCTCTTCAGTTTCATCTACAGCTGTATGATGAAAACGAGAGAATAACTTTGAGATCTGTGATATTGTCGAGAAGGTCGTCATTTGATTAGAAGCAGAAGTCGCGGGATGATACCGTCTGCGTGGTAGTCTGATCGGAAGTTTGAAGAAAGGTCAGCGACCCTGACTCCCCAAACTTGTGTTGTTGCAACTTGTCCCAGTTTCTCTTAATATCCTCTTGCTTAACATTAGCGTTGTTTTTTTTTTTCTAAATATTTTTAAAAAAATTTTTTTTTTTTTTTTATTTTTTTTTTTTTTTTAGCAAAGGCTATTCGATGAATAGCTAAAAAAACTGATGTCGGTTGATTGAAATTTATAAGCGACACACCATACAAAGCATCGAGTTAAAAGTGTAGCCGGTGCAAACAGTGTGTTTTGTTTCCAAACAAATCTTTATCTGGTGTTATATGATGTTGACTCTTTTGATAGTTTAGTTTGGAGATTTAATGAACACTTTTAAAATATAATACATATATGTTCAGTTCATAAAAAGTACTCCTCCCCGGCGGGGAATCGAACCCCGGTCTCCCGCGTGACAGGCGGGGATACTTACCACTATACTACCGAGGAGTTAAATAAGTTGCATTAGAAAGTCAAGTTACTTGGATTTTTTTACTTAACGTTTGAGACAATAATGTTCATTACTTAGCTAGATTCAGTGATTCTCTAACATAACTGTTAGCGATAAAACTTATAAGAAAAGAGAAGACTTTACAAACAGTCAAGATTTATACATATCAAAAACGTGATTCACTATTGTAAATTTTGTTGAAAAGTAGGCTATTTATAGTAACTGATGTAGGAATAAAATTAGGATTAAATCTGTTATATTTACGAGAGTAGGCACAGGGGATATAGCTCAGTGGTAGAGCATTCGACTGCAGATCGAGAGGTCCCCGGTTCAAACCCGGGTGTCCCCTTGTTTTTTTCCTATTTTTCAACATACATGTTATACTTAGACTTTGCCCCTCGATTCAAAAACTAACTAACTAATAATAGAGTGTGCATCATCCATAATTAAAGTAATAGGCTACATTAGCTCTTTATTTTAACCCTTTCCCCGGCAACATATTTGGTACCCTGTCCCCGGCAACTGGGTGGATTACACCCGAAGACTTTCTTTTAGTAAATTCTTTTCTTTGTTCATTGTGGGGTGGGTAACAATACTGACACAGTTAAGGTATTCGGGGCATTGTGGCCATGGGGAACACAAGACATGTTGTTGTCAATGGGAGAGCTGTAATATGATACTACAGGTTGATGGGATTCTCAAGCAAGAGTTAACCTGTGGGTGGACACATGTAGTGATTTATACTCTTTGCTGGAGCTCTGACTTGCAGTTACAGACAGAACTGTAGTTTAGAGTTACAATGGGTTAATGAAATGCAGGGGTAAGATTGCCTGTGGGAGGACATATAAGGTGATTTGTACTCTTTTAGGGAGCTCTGGAATGTAGATACAGTCGAGCATTTTAGTGTAACTTGACATTAACCTCATTAGGAGTACAAATGAGGACAAAAAGGCAAAATAACTTTGTAATGCTGCTTGAAAGTTGATACTGGGTAATGAATTGATCAAACTGGGAGTGGGGTGGGTGTTCTACAGGTTATGATCCTGAGAGTAAGGTTTATAAATAGCCATAAACATTATTGAGAACACAACAGAAACAAGTCTTGAATGCTTTTGTCTAAACTCAAGGCTAATGATAAAGGAATATATTTGCCAGTTTTGGTATAGCAGGTGAAAATTACCAACAAGTTTTGAGTCTGAATTATCAGTATCAGAGGTAGAAGATGAAGAATTGCAGCCTTCAGTATCAAAGGTAGAAGATAATCCTGGTTCAGTTTCAACCAGCTCTGATGACAAGGTCTACCCAATATACTCCATTTCAATTATCAATAATGTGTCAACAGTTGGCACACATAATGAAATTAAACTGATGGTGCAAAGTGAAGAAAAAGAAATATTTTCAGGAAAGACAAAGTAACAGTACACTAGACCACTGCCTGAAGTGCTAATCCCAGGAAAAATATAAACAGCCTGACTCAAAATATTTCTTCTGTACATGAACACAAAAAATAATACAACCAATATTTGACTGCATTAGCAGGGATGGAGAGAAAGCAAGAGGAGACACTGGCACTCTGCAGAATGACAATTTAGTTGTATGTCAATTCAGTTGTAATTATTGAAGTTTTTGAAGGCAGAATTTTCTATGAAGAGATTCAGCAACCTGGGTCATATTCACTTTCACAACAATTACAATAACAGTCCATCAGGCTCATGGTATATTTGCTTCCATTATGGTAGATATTCCATACAAATTTAGCAGGGTGTTATGTTTCTGGACAGATCATTACTAATTGGGCAACTGGTTGAATTTAGAGAAGGGAGTAGATTTATCCAATACATACCAAGCAATTCCGATAAGTATGGAATTAAAATATTTATGGCATGTGACTCATGTAACACCACTAAAAGGGTGCCTATATTTTGTAAAAGAAAACTAAAGTTCCCTACCAGCAAAAAGAAATGTCCAGTTATTTTAGTTGTATCTAACAACTGTGCTCTATGAGGTGCAAATTATTAGAACGTGTTAATGTTCTATTATTTTATTACTAAAGTTGAATACTTCAATCCTGTTTGATATTTTTGTTACTCAAATACCTTCAGATTGTTAATTTATAGTTAAACTTTGAAAATTTAACACAATGACTTAACCCACAATGAGTAAAAACAAATATTTAGAAGCCAGTTTATAAGTTATAAATATTTTTTCCATTCAAAATTGTGTACGGGTGTGTAAAACCCAGTTGCCAGGGACCGTATAAAAAAATTTCAAACCCTCATAAAAAAATTTTTTACGCATATTTTTTAAATTTACAACCTCCAATGTGTTCATCCCAACCACCTTACAGATGGGAATGAGGCCCAGAAAAATTTATAAAATGAGACTCGAGATATGAGCAAAAATATAGCGACTTCGGGTGGATTACACCCAGTCGCCGGGGAAAGGGTTAATCTTGTAGAACTAATCTAATTATTCAACTCGAACATGGAGTCGTCGAGTTGAATTCTAAAAAAATAAACCAACAAAAAAAAACCAAAAAAAAAACCATTCACTTCGTGTGGTCTAGGAAAATTCTACATTCACTGTGTCCCTGTGCCATGACCCAGTTTGTCGGCGTGTTGACTGTATGACACATTCGCTTCACTGTTTGATGACGTAATCGACTAGCGCGTGAACCTGGTCTGAAGTGGCCAGGTAATCAGCTATTCTCACATCGAGAATGTGTTTAGCCCAGTCCTGACGCAGTTACCTCCCTCCCTCCCTCACCTAGAGTAAAACCCTAGTTACATAACAAACAAAGAAACCGGTATTCATGTAGGATTAAGCTCAGCCCCTCACCCACCTAAAGGAGTGAAGGATACGTTTATTTTCTATAGCTTTAACTAGCCCTAGCCTTACAATAATTGATTGGAAAACCCGCAGACAATCAATAAATTATCACAACGTACAAGCCTCTCCCTGTTATCAATAATCAATGCGAGTAAAACAATTGATTTCACCAAATGACACGCCTTAGAGTAGGGGAATAGGCAGGTAATTCCAGAGCGAATGTAGGCCTAGGAATAGATTATTCACCTGAATGATTGGGCGTAATGTAATGTGAGCGTTGACTGAATACTTTGTACTCATGACTCATTATATCAATATTATAAGACATGTTTACTGCATTATGATAGCTGGTTATTAATGACATTCTATTTTAGATGTAACTACTCTGTTGAAGCTGTAACAATTGTGAGGGGAATTTTACGCCAGTGTCCGATAATAGAATCTAGTGGTAGTTATTGTTAATGTCAATTTTAATACTATCCCTAACCCCTACCATACACTTAACCCTAATTTCTAACCATAAAACTAGTCGAGATTACAATATTACTAACAAGTAACAACCTACCACAGCTATTTTTGGAACAGTCTATTATGGGACACCGGTATCTTCAATCATCCAAATTCAGGGGAATCAATTCTGATATAGCTGTAACAATTCGACTATGACTGTCCAGATTCAGATATAGTTGTAACGATTCTGTTAAAGCTGTTCTAATGACGATTGTGACGTGGCGTGGGATCTGTTGCTGTTACTCACTAAATATTTCAACTACGCGTTCATATTTAACTCCTAATCAACTTTCCCATTCTCGATATCTAGTACGTCGATACAGCCCTACCTCATGCGACTTTTTGAATAATCGATAAAACTTCGATACTCAGCACATCGATGCTGCCCTACCCCACGTAACTTTTCGACTAAATCTAGTCTGCTCGTAACAATAAAAGGGTATATTTGTCCATCGTAAACAAGTTACATAAAATGACAAATTAATTTGACTATAATGAAGTTTTACTTTTTACGTGATCTTACTAGTAGTGGACCAGTGGATTCATATCGAGTATAAGCCTGAATGTATAGCGATCTAATGTTTATTGTTTTATAGCCAGGGATCATGTTAACGTTAATGTATGAAGTGAAAATTATTAGGACTACATTAGACAGGACTGGGGACACATTATTAGTTAGTCAACTGGACCAACAACCCATCGACAAAATTAGAATCATGTCAAAATTGTTAACAAAACACTTATTTTGCATTTTAGAGGCTATTTAAAAAATTATGGCCGAACTAAACTAATATTATTCTGGTCTCTGGCTAGACCTACACAGTCCTTAGGGGTCATCCATAAATGACGTCACGCTTTTTTGACGATTTTTACCTCCCCCCCCTCCCTTCCATCACACGTCGTCACAAAAAGCCAGACCCCCCCCCTAAAATGACGTCACACCTCAACCTACAACCCCCCTCAAAATTGCAGTTGAATTTTTTTAAAACATCGATATCCTTCTAAAATCTTGTCTAAACTATACAATTTATTAAAACAGTTATCTAAAACGCGAAATAGCGTCTAAATTTCGTTTTCTAACATTGCTTTTTTATAATGCAAAAGTGTGATGTCGCAACATCTGAACCCCCCCCCCTCCCCCTAATCACAAAATTACGGACCCCCCTCTCTCCTACGAGTGTGACGTCATTTATGGATGACCCCTTAACTAATCTTATTCTGGTCTCTGGCTAGACATACACAGTCCTTAACTAATCTTATTCTCGTCTCTGGCTAGATCTAGACCTACACAGTTTTTGTGGCATGACGCACTACAAACACTGCCATAGTAGCGCAGCAAATAATGATCAGCACACGACACACCTTCCACACGATTCGTTGTAAAAGATTTCCTTTCAATAAACTTGCTCATGAAGTTAAAGACAACAGCTCATAAGGGTGTGGACTGTAGACCATATATATATATATATATATATATATATATATATATATATATATATATATATATATATATATATATATATATATACACGATTTGAAGTTAATAGACTACTCTGAGACTAGTTATTTTCTAATATTCACAGAATTTTTATTTATTTATAATAAGTAGATCGACAAATACAACTAAAAATGTGCCTTTCAGTCAATCATTGAGCCTTACTTCGGTCACTGATCAATATCGTGTATGTGAAGCAATGCACACAGCTAATAAAATATAACGCCTAAGCACATAATCATAAAAAAAAACCCCAGTGTATTGTGTAAAAGTTCTACGCAGCTAAACATTGAGTTGTGCGTGTCAAGTTAAAATGAATAGAGTCCACTGTATACATTATTAAGTCAGTCTGAACTGTTGGATTATGCAACGCATACGATATATCTTTATAGTCTGAAGAGGGAAACCCTTAATATTCGTTCGATTAAACCCAGGAGAGATTGATAATTATTCGTGTAATCAGTAACGTCACTATAGGTCGCTAGACCATTGGTGCAGAAGTCTATATTATACAAAAGCTATAGGCAATGTGATATAATCCAAACCGTACCTAATTATGTGTATTAATTTCAATAAGTGTTTTAACTAAAATAGCAGACTTTCTCATTAAAATTGATTCTCAATCGTCTTGGTTTTAACCCCCTCGTGTGATCAGGGGCAGTCCTCCCCCGACTTAGGAGAGGCGGGTGGGGCGCGCAGGGCGTCAGGTGGTGGTTGTCAACATGAATAAACTAAATGGGGGCGGTGGGGGCGCAAAGTTGACCATTAGCCCCAGAGGCCTGAGTGGGTGGTTACGCTTCTGCCAGCCTTGTGACATTACTGGCGCTTTTGTATTTTAAAACGACGTATATATCTTAACAGTAGACTTCGGTTGTTTGGCCTATCTAGGACCAGCCTTTACACAAACCATAATCCAACATCTGGGATCGTGCACATAATGCAGCATTATTGACCAACACCCTATATGGCATTTTCTTAGGCAAGCCACTTTTAACACACCCGTCCTCCCTTCCACCCCCTCCCACCCCCGAGAAATTTGAGTCGATTTTTATACCCCCCCCCCAACTTCACTGTTTAAGGATATCACACAAAGTCATACTTTGCATTTAATTTTAGTTTACCATATCCATCACATTATTAAGACATAATTAGGCCTAACCTTGCTGTTTAGGATAGACCGTTAGTTAGCGATTGGAATGTTGGATATGATTGATACAAAAAAATTTTTGGTTACTACGCCTAATCAAATAGTACCAGCAGCCTAAGATTTAGAAGCTGTTGAATAATAGACACACTCTATTACCAATATTTCTTATTTGTTTGTATTTAACGATAAAAATACTAAACACAGTGCCATAGAGCCTATTTTTGTATCGATGCAGTGCCTATCCTAGCCTATTGAATAGGCCTAACATGTTGGTTGCCAGCCATGCTTGTTAGTCACAGCTCCATGGAAACAAGCTTGACAAATATAAAAGGCGAGAAACCGCGCCCGTGTTGTCAGTGCAGCCGCTCTGTTCGACGCATTACAGTCGTACTAAGAGGGATCTTCCACTCCATTTATTTTAAAAACCATATTTTTAACACTTGTTTCAATTTAACTTAACCACTTATCATCCAAAATGGTAAGCAGTTTTCCTTTAAATAATTTAGTTTTCTGTCAACAAATCCAATAAAAACAACTTAGTCGCTCAATTTGCACATCATCTAACTAAACCGCTGTGCGCTTAGAAAAGATCAAGCCGCCATACCGACAACGCCTTTGTTTGATATCGCGATCGATTGCGCGCGTATTCGACTATTCGGGGTTAGCAAAACGAAGAATATTCATAGCTTGTGAACATTTATTGTATTTGTAACCGTTAATATTTCATCTGTAAACTTTCCTTTATGTGGGCTTGGGAAGTGTAGATCTAGGATTCTATTCTAAATCTAGATCTAGATCTAGATCTAATCACTTTGCTTTATTACAAACTTGCACAGCCCATTGAAATCAAGACTATAGAACCCAGTAGCCGCCTTATTGATTTTTTAGCGCCAATGTCAGGTCAATCCTACAACATTCCAGAATGTTCTTTGCCGTCAGAATGTTATTTCCAGCTATTTCGGGCAGAAACTAAATCAAGATCAATTTTTTTTTATAGGCTAACATTTAGTATTTAATTCTATGATTGGCTCTCATTGACACTAATTTTTACTGAATAGATCAATATTAATAACCATATTTAAATAGTTAGGCCTTAAAACTTTAATAAAATTTGAATAATAGATCTATCTCTTAAATATAGTAAATAAAGGACTAAAAAATACAGGACCATATAAGTTAATAGTAGGCCAGTCATATAGGCCTACTAGGCTCAACAGTTAACATACACCTTTATTGTATTCATAGTACATTTTCAATCTTAAATAAACAAACAAAAATTCAAAAAAAAAAAAAAAAATCCACAAATATTAGACTAAGGTTAGTTTGATTAATTTAAATTTAATGTGTTCAATTAAAAAAATCATTTGAATTTTCAGGGGGGGGGGGGGGGTAAACTGGTTGAAGTACATACATTTTTTAATTTAAATTTTTTATTTTTAAAATTTTTATTGGATGGTGTACATTCTCCCATCTGCAAAGATGTGTCTGAAAGGAACTATAGAAATCTAGGGAGGTTGGAGGGGGGGGGGGGGGAAGGGAGTGTTATGATTTTATGAGTTTAAAATTTAAAGAAGTTCCTTTCATTCTTCAGCGTGAGTGTATTTCCGTCCACGTTGGTCAAGCTGGAGTCCAAATTGGTAACGCCTGCTGGGAGTTGTACTGTCTGGAACATGGCATCCAGCCAGATGGTCAGATGCCATCAGACAAGACCATTGGAGGTGGTGATGACTCATTCAACACCTTCTTCAGTGAGACTGGTGCTGGCAAACATGTGCCAAGAGCTGTCTTTGTTGATCTGGAACCCACTGTTGTTGGTGAGTTTTTGGTTCTAGTTTTTTGAAATGGGATGAACAAATAGTTAGCTTGAGTCATTTAATAAAATCTAACAAGGGTGTTTTATTTTAGTGACTTTAATATTATACACTTTTTTCTCAGATGAGGTCCGAACTGGCACCTACAGACAGCTTTTCCACCCAGAGCAGTTGATCACAGGTAAAGAAGATGCCGCCAACAACTATGCCCGTGGTCACTACACCATTGGTAAGGAGATTGTCGACCTTGTCCTTGACCGCATCAGAAAATTGGCTGATCAGTGCACTGGTCTTCAGGGATTCCTCATCTTCCACAGGTAAAAGAATAATCTCTGAGAGCTTTTTTAAATCTTGTTGCATATGATTTTGCCTCTGGAATTAATGAATAGTCTTAACGATTTAACTTCTAATTAATCAAGTGCTTAGATTTAAACTTAATATGTGGTAGATTGTCAGCTAACGTTTATTAATTCTGATTTTAATGTTGTAGTTTTGGTGGAGGCACTGGCTCTGGCTTTGCATCTCTGTTGATGGAACGTCTGTCTGTTGACTATGGCAAGAAATCCAAACTTGAGTTTGCTATTTATCCAGCTCCTCAGGTCAATATTCTATCCAATATATTTAAGTATGCCTGCACCAGTTTTTAAAGTGACAAAACATAACACCTATATTATATAGCATAGAACAGTTATTAATATTGTTAAAATATTAACGATCTACTCAAAAATGTCCACAGATCTCCACAGCTGTTGTTGAACCCTACAACTCCATCCTAACCACACACACCACTCTAGAACACTCTGACTGTGCCTTCATGGTCGACAATGAAGCCATTTACGATATCTGCCGTCGTAACCTTGACATTGAAAGACCAACCTACACCAACTTGAATCGTCTGATTGGTCAAATTGTCTCCTCCATCACTGCCTCTCTAAGGTTTGTATTATTAAAGGTTAAAATTTTTTTCATACAACTAGTTAAAAAAAAACAAAATTAGGTAAAATGTTGTTCAAAATTTTTATTTTTATTATTTACTGAAACAAAATTAGGTAAAATATTGTTCAAAATTTCAATTTTTATTATTTACTGAAACAAAATTAGTTAAAATATTGTTCAAAATTTCTATTTTTATTATTTACTGAAACAAAATTAGGTAAAATATTGTTCAAAATTTCTATTTTTATTATTTACTGAAACAAAATTAGGTAAAATATTGTTCAAAATTTCTATTTTTATTATTTACTGAAACAAAATTAGGTAAAATATTGTTCAAAATTTCTATTTGTATTATTTACTGAAACAAAATTAGGTAAAATATTGTTCAAAATTTTTATTTTTATTATTTACTGAAACAAAATTAGGTAAAATATTGTTCAAAATTTCTATTTTTTTTATTTACTATTACAGATTTGATGGTGCCCTGAATGTTGATCTGACTGAGTTCCAGACCAACTTGGTGCCATACCCACGTATCCACTTCCCCCTGGCAACCTATGCTCCAGTCATCTCTGCTGAGAAGGTAAACTGTCAAAAGAAACCTTAAAAATGACTGTTGTGATCTGTGTAAAGTAACGCACAATTGATTTTAAATACTGACTTAACTACTATTGACAAAAAAATTAATGAATTACATATATAACATTTTTAGGCCTATCACGAGCAGCTCTCAGTAGCTGAGATCACCAACGCCTGTTTTGAGCCAGCCAACCAGATGGTCAAGTGTGACCCACGTCATGGCAAGTACATGGCCTGCTGTATGTTGTACAGAGGTGATGTTGTCCCCAAGGATGTCAATGCAGCCATTGCTACCATCAAGACAAAGAGAACCATCCAGTTTGTTGACTGGTGTCCAACTGGTTTCAAGGTAAACATTATACTTACCTTTTGTCATTTGATAATATTTAATATGGATATTTCAATTTGTAGGAAGGTGAAAATACACATTTAAAATGATTTTGTTAATCATCTGGCATGTTTTTTTTAAAAAAGCAAAACAAATTTAGACCACATTGTAATAGAGGATCATTTGCAATATTTCTTTACTTCAAGGTTGGCATCAACTACCAGCCACCAACTGTTGTACCTGGAGGTGACTTGGCCAAGGTCCAACGTGCTGTCTGCATGTTGAGCAACACCACAGCCATTGCTGAGGCCTGGGCCAGACTTGACCACAAGTTTGACCTTATGTATGCCAAGCGTGCTTTCGTCCACTGGTATGTATTACTAATATTTAAAAAAAAATGAATTTCTGTAAGCCTTATAAAAATTTATGTAAAATAAAGCCCCAATAATCTTAATGAATAAGATAAATTACTTATCAGAGTAATGTAACTAATTTTATTTACTTCATCCATCTTTTGAAGCTTACTTATTAGAGAACATATTGCAAGTAAAATTGAAATAACTAATCCTTCCTGTTGTAGGTATGTGGGTGAAGGCATGGAGGAAGGTGAGTTCTCTGAGGCCCGTGAAGATCTTGCTGCTCTGGAGAAGGACTATGAAGAGGTTGGCGTTGATTCAGTTGAAGGGGAAGGAGAAGAAGAGGGAGAGGAATACTAAGTCCACCCAAGAAACTCTGTATCAGTTAACATAATATCATGTTTTACCAGAATTCTACCAAAGGCTAGTCATCTTTGCTCTTCTTTCTAGCTGATACCAGATTTGCCAAACTTGATATTTTGTTGAATAGATGTAGAGTTGATAAGGTATAAGTGAAATGCCAGCTTTTTACTCCAGTAAAATAAACCCTACATTTGCAGCTACTAAACTAATATAAAGGTACTGTGATAAGAAAAGTTTCAACTCATTTTGTTTTATAAACAATTTCAGCAGGTAACTTTTAGAAACAAGATTTAATGTACTCCTTGTCCATTATTTTGAGTATTTACTTTTTAATGCATTTATCTTGGCATCATTCCATTCCAAAATTTTTATTTTTTGTAAGAATTTTGACATAGCAGCTGTAATTTCAGAATATTGATGTACTATTTTTGTGACCAGTCTTTAAATGAATTTTGTATTTATTTTTTAATATTCATTGGAGGATTAAAGTTGCAAGTGTTGAATGTGTTTTTTCTTTTCTGCAACATGTTTATGATTGTTGTCTAAATACTGTACTGAATTTTCCCTAAAAAAAGTTGCAAATATTGTTCAGTTTGAGCAACAGCTAGTTAACCCAAAAGCATTTTGCAAACATGCTGAGCATTTTCATGTTTAATTAATTAAAAATTAATTTAAGGCCATTAAAACTGTGCTCCTGCCACCACTTCAGTTAATTAACCATACAGGGCTACTAAATGTTGAACACAACACAAACTTGAAATTTGTAGAAACAATGTACTTATGTCACTGGAACTTGTTAGTGATCCAACTATGTGTAACTTGCTTTTACTAGTTAATTTATCAATGCCAAGTAATTAGTCTGAGAACAACCTGTGAATGTCCTACACTGACTGATAGAACTGAAGTTAAAATTAAGATTGTTATCACATATTTTTCACATTCATGCCCAAGACACATGGGGCAGATGAAGTGGAGTTAATCTGTTTCAATGACCTGGGCATATGAAGGGAACTGATCAGCACTATGCTCAGCTGTCTAGGTTAACACAAGTCAGATACTCATTAGAGCTGGGTGGACTCAGAGACTCAAATCTGATATGAAGCTCTACCATCCCTGATATGCTTAATATATGTAGTGTATATAACAACTTATTCTGATGCATATGATAGCTGTACTGTAGTTAAAAAAGTTAGGTGGAGAAAGCTAGGAATCAAACATTAATAATAATTTAAAAAGTCATTTCATGGCCACAAAATAAGCTGATTAAACTCACTTTATTAATATATAATTTAGAATTGAAAACAAAATACAACACCAATATAAAATCTCATGTCTCTTTATTTATAAATTAATTCAGTCGTACATAAAAAGAACAACTAATTGTTATGGTGAATATTAAATGGGCTGACAATAAACAGGGTTTCTCATCACACTGACAGCAATCCCAACTTAACAAAAAAAAAACATTCCTTACTTTAATGTTGATCAATGATCAGAGAAAACAAACAACCAAGGCTTCTGTAATGGAATGAACTGAATGTACGACACAGTGAATATCACAATAAAACAGATCCAACCACTAACAGCCAAACAATATTTGCATTTTTGGAACAAAGGATAAGGGTAGGGTACAAGTGATGGGTATACTAAGGTTAAGTTCAGAGAATAAGAAAATTATTTTACAGGCTAAACATGAGATAAAGACAACATTGATCTATACACACTAGATATAAAACAGCGGCAACTATCTATAGAGATACAATTTTGAACATATTAAAAGTAATTTTATTTTTTGAAGAATGAATAATTAAGAATTCTAAGTTCTTACCAAACATAAAAATTTATATTTTCTAATGCCAAGGAACATGAATTTGATATTTCTGTAATGATCTGTAGAAATGATTTTTACAGATTAATATCCAGATTATGTGATTGATAAGGGAAGGTAAAAAAAAATAATTATATAAATAAACAATACTTCCTCCTTTCATTCATTACACTCACAAACACAAATTGGTCATTTTAAATGTCTCTTTATGATTTACTTTAATTAGGGTTGCAGCCAAAATAAAAATTTAGAAACCAGTTGACATGTTTCTATTTTTGTGCAATATAACTATCTATTGGCATAGTTTTCTACATTTTATCTTGTACTAAAATACATACTTTGGGAAAAAAAAATTGGCTAAAATATCTAACATTCAAAAGCTAAAAGGATACACTATAAAAACATTTATTCTGTAGAGATAATTCTACTTATTCACTGAAAACTAATATTTTATTTTAGAAGTTGGACATTTATATACCATAATTATTAAAACATTTGCTGGTGACTAACATAAAAATGACAAATGTACAATTAGCTTCTAATTGCACACAATACCTAACGCACTAATGGTGTCTGTTTCAGTTGCAACAAGATAGACCTGAACCTAGATACATCTTTTGTGTTCTTTGAGTTCTTTGGGTTAAATTCACAAAGGCGGGTTATTTTCTCCCATGCTTGACCGGTGACCTTTTCATCACGATCCTTGACAAATGCAGTTTCAGCGGCCCTAAATAAAGATTAGAAATGTTAAATTTTTGTACAATATATGAATGGAAATTAACATTCCAAAGCATTTAATAACTGAGATATATTAATCCTTCAAGTGCATTAACTAGCATCACAAAAAAACCTGCTATCAACTTTTAAAAACAGTGTTTGGGCACAGTGGATAGGTGAATCTTTTATTTGATAAAATCATTACTTTTTAATTGAGCAGTTAGACAGATATTGGGAGTTGTTAAAGAGGATTTAGTGGAAGCCTAGTTAAGGTCTGATAAATGGATCAGATAAATGGATCAAACAACTTTGAACCTCTCCCCTCTCTATATTGATGCCTACAGGAACAGTTATCTCAAAACATACTAATTCAATAATGAATTGTGGAGATGTCAATGCTAACAGTTTTATACAATGATTTATATTTTTGGAAACATATGATAAAAGTTGAGTCCTGTATATGTTAAGAAAACTAAATAGAATGTAGTACAAGAACAAAGCTATGATTAGTGAAAATTGAAGTTTCAAAATAGTTCTTTTATGAAGAAAAAAAAGCAACAAATTCTGTACTCATGCGTAGAATTATGGTAAGTCATAAGACCACCAATCCCCTATTTATGTAGCTCATGTAACCACGAGGTAAAAAGTTAACAGTAATGTAATTACCAGTTTCAATACAAAAACTACCTTTTAAATTTATATCCCACATTTTGTACGGAGGAAAAATAATTTATGTGATAAGATTTAATGTTGAATATCCACAAGGACATACTCTCACCAGAGTGTGGACATAATACAGGGTGACACCACTAAGCTGCTTTTAGGTTTATAAGAATTTGACAGTGTATTTATCATGTGTGTATACAATACTGCCTTTTAGTGCCTAAAAAATGAAAAAAAAAAATAGTAATTTGAAACTTAAAATGAGAAAATAGGTCGTTTAAAGCTACATTATTCTTAAGTACCACCATGATTTCTTTTAAATGTGAGATAGTGAAACTAATTTACTGTTAAGTTTAATCACCATAACAAAAATCCATAAATTACAAACTACACAATAAAATGAAAAAGTTACATAGATAACTTCACACACACTGAAAATAATTTCCCTGCTTAGCTAGAGGCTTAAGCTTTGGATATGAACGCTAAAATTTAAAAATAAAAGTATATGTCATCAATATTTGCATTGAGTACAGTGGTGATCTTGAAGCTCTGATAACATTATTTTTTATAATGGCTGATTTCTAAGCTTTAACATGTATAACTTTGTAAAACAAAAAATAAATAAATCACATACCAGGAAGTCTTTATATTTTTAGAGTAGGTATAACACACAGAGTTATTTTATAAAATAAACTATCCACCTATCTATAAGCTATCTACTATATGGAGCCTTCTTTCTCTGTCAGTCTGTCGAGCTTAGTGCTTAATGTTTCTTCTGTCATGGGTTGAAACTGGCCAGCGCCATTTAGACCATTTTTAACAAACCTGTATCTTTCAAATTTGGAAAGTGGATCAAGATCCGATGACAGTGTGAATGTAACATGAAATTTGACTTCATTGGATTTTTAATTTTGAAGAATTTTTTAAAGATTCCTATATAGAGGACTATTTTTTGAGCTTTCATATGCACATTATCTATTTCGTTTGGTGTGCAACAAACTGTATTCAGTCATGCAATTCTTCTGTATTCAAATTTTTAGTGTTGAAAAATTTAAAAATAAAGAAAGTTTTCAGAACAAGCTTCTATATCATAATGCACTAAAAGTAGAAAATAATGATTGTCTTTCATATATAATAATGAGCAACTATAGAGAAATGTGAGGGTCACTATTTTTATCTATTGAATTCCATTACTACATTATAAAACGAGAGCCACGATTTTCTTTATAGGTATTTAAAGAGAACTGCATTATTGTAAATGTAAAGAAAATAAATTATTTTCTACTTTTTAGTGAATTATTATATGAAAGGTTGTTATTAAAACTTTATTATTTAAAAATAAATGAGGAATCACACCTAAATTAAACTTACAAACTCAAAACATTCATGTCATTGTCAGTCAAAAGGTTAAAAACATTAACTAATCCATTCAGGAATATTTTGGGTTTAAAAAAACCTGAAAGATCTTCAATATTATATATATGATTAATGCAGAAGCAGATAAACCACATTGTGTTATATCTCTACAAAGCTGCAGTAGCATTAGCTAAAGTTTTGATATCAGTAACATTATAATTATAGAGACCGTCACCAAAGTGAGTAGAAGCATGTTCTCATGCTCATTAAAAATTCATTTTCTTAAGAATGTGGTTATTTAATTTAAAATTTTATTTCTAATTACAACAAAGGAATCAAAATACCTGAAGGCAAATAGTAATTTTAGAATAAATAATGTTAAAATATTGATATAGACATCAATATTGCACTACATATGCTGTATTGTCCAGCGATTATTGCAAATAATCCCCAACATTTAAACAGTCAACACCACATATATTTATGCCTATTTAAAGATGGTTAATTTAAGTAATCCTATATAATCATATTAAATAAATATTCAGAATGCAATAGCTAGGGGCAAAAACATCTTTAAACTAAAAATGTTATTGACACGCTGTTTATGTCTACAGACAGGTGAATATTGAAAGTTAAATTGAAAAAAATATACTTTAATAACCCACATAGAATCAAACTTTGTACAAAAAATGAAATAAAAAAAAAAAGATCAACTTAAAACTGGCCCACAACATCACAATTGGTGAATTCCACTACATACAACAATGTTTTTTTTAATGTACGTAAGATTGATTGCAAGAGTAGGCCTTTGAAAAGGAGAGCTATATTATACTAATTGAATATATGGGCTAAAAGCTGATAGTAAGGAGTAACCTGGTGTGCTAGCATGAATGAACTTCTCAAAACAATTACAGTAATAGCTAAGGGGATCACAGTGTAAATAGTTTGTGATACAGTTTGTGCGAGAACAAATCAAAGCTACATAGATTATAAAAAACAACCACTAAACTACAGCACCACCACAATAAACAGTGAATTGATGAGACAATCTCATACCCTTGGGATTCAGTTACATCATTATGTTTCCTGGAAAAGGAACATCAGCAAGAAGAAGCAAAATAATAAGTGAGAAAAACTTTCCCATCCAACAACAATCATTAATGCCACACTTAAAATAAATCTAACTTAGTAAAGACCTTAACATTGTCGTTATATAATTATACATTTTGGCAAAAATATGCTTAGAATTAGGATATATATTTAAACAACACAGAGCATTAAAATATGTATTTAGTTGATCTTTCAAATAGATTTTTTTCATCTGCATTTCCTTAAATATTTAAACTAACTTTAGAGTATGAGTTTTTATTGAGTTCATGAACAGTAACTTCTAGATATTGCTGTACTCTAATAATAAAGAAATAAACAAAAGTAGTTAATAGTTTATCTAGAACAAAAAACCAGCACATAGCAGATACAAGGCTGCAGTAGTGTAACAATTTCTCTTGAAAAGCATCAAAGTGAAGTGTTAGCCATACACAAACCACACTATAGATTAAGCAGTGAATGGGAGAATCAAATAAAGAATGTCTATGGCAAACAAAATGCAGTATACTATTAATTTCTTACAATGTAAAAAAAAAAGAGGAGAAAAACTGATTATTATGACAAATCATTCAGAGCTATTAGTTTTAAAAAATCCTACTACGTTTATAATAGAAGAAATTTTTTTTACAGCATTCTTAAAATGTCATCTCAGCCTAGGTTTAAAGCATCACAATAATATAAGCTTTAAAATAAAATATAAGCCGTAATAAACTTTTACCTGTTGTTCTCTTTTGTTTTCTCCAACTGTTCCGTGTGATGTTTGTACCAGTCATCAAGCTCTTTCTTTGCTTTCTCTTTCAATTCTTTTTTACGCTTTTCTTCTTCAGAGTCTAACAGTTTCATTAGAATTAAAACAAAGCTTTAAGTACAACAGAAAAATATGTGCAGAATCTTTTTAAAGAATGACACTAACAATGACAACCAAATATGATATTTCTCCATTATAAAACCTATGTCCAGCTAAGTTGGGCATAACACAGAGACATACTACTATCTTGAAGTTTTACAACTCCTTAAAAAAATACCTTAAAGTTTTCAACTTTTAAGCAGAACAATTAAATAAAAGTACAAAGTTACAACAAAAAGGGGTCTGCGTGGTCGAGTCAGTAAAGCTCATGGTTGCTAAACCGAAAAAGTCTCGAGCTCGAAGCCTCGGGCAGATGAGGCTCGTTAGCTTGGGACAGCCACTCTTCTAGGAGGGTCAACTCCAAAATCAAACAACTGCTGCCTTGTAGTTTGTTCTTGGTTGGACAAAAAAGGCTATGGAAGCAAATCCAAAAAGAAAAGCAGGCTGAAACCAGAGTCAATGGCCTCAATGGCGCATAACCAGTTGATACGTAATCCTTAATTGTGATGGAAGCATGGTAGAGTCGGCAAAGCTCATGGTTGATAAATTTGAAAAAAAGTCTCGAGTTCAAACCCTCTGGCAGATAAGACTCGATCCCTCCCAACGCTAAAAATTAAGAACGAAGAAGAAGAAGAACAACAACAAAAAGAAAAAAGGTATAGTGGAAAGAGAACAGCAAGTCACAAACTGTTAACCTTTTTTCTCCAGTCTTGTCTTTTGTTCTTCACGCCAGATTTTTATTTTCTCTGGAACTGCTCTCATGGTATCTTGCTGGGATATTGCCTCATACATGTTACTTGGCCCATTACTCTGTAACACATTAGTTCTCATTATAAAACCGTATACATGCACATCTATTTCACCACTCTGTTGACTGGGAAAGGTTGGCAATACCATGGACCAACAAGTCACAAATGACCATTTATATGCAAAGATTTCTTTTAAAATATGAATTAAATGTCAGCAACTTCAATAGACTTTTCAGATACACTCTAAGATTTTGTAAAATATAAATGTATCAAAATTAGGGAAACTAGATGAAGTTTCCTAAAATTATATTAAGATGTTAAATTTTGTCAATTAGTCAATTCAATTTTTCAATGTGGAGTGTATTCTAATTTTAGAGAAATAAACTCCATAAAAGTGAGAAAAAAACTACCATGTGAGCTAAAAATGACTAACACGTAGAAAAAAATCTAAATTTGTAAAAATTCAGTACTAAAATAATAATTGACAACAATACTCAGCTTACATTTTTAACAGTAATAAATTAGCACAGCTACATAAAAATAGAGAAAAATAGGGACTACATCCCAAGGTGTACGAAACTCCATAAATAATTCAGCAGCATGAATAAACAGGAATGTGGGTGCCAAGCTTCTAGTTTTATGATTAAATAGAAACATCCATAAAGCAGATGAACTTGTTACATTCTAAAAATAACACACAGAGTAAATTTGAGTTCCTTATTAATATTAAAATACCTACAAACATTTTTTTGGACTATAAATGTTGAAAAAAGCTCTACACTTAAAAAAAAAAAAAACAACATCAGCAGCCCATACAGATGTAGTTGAAAATGGGTAGGCCTAAATTGTAAAGGTAGTAATTTTTCCAACCAGAAGCCTTTGTAATAAATCTTAAATTACATAGAGCAATTAAGTTTAAAATATAATACATTAAATATGATATGGCCTTATTGAACCCCACCCTCCAACATAATTAGTTATGGTAACAAATGTTAGTCACACAGGGAAATAACAGCCACATGGGGACAGAACAGAACATAGCAAAACAGTGTGGCTATTAGTGTAACCCATTTCTACTATCTAATGCATAGCATATCAAAATATTTCTGCTTGGGTAATCATGAAGCTTCAAGTAAACCATGCTTACATAGCTCAATGTAAAGAAAAATAAACCAGTTCTTTTCACAACATCCTTGTACTTTATATATTTTATCCAATTTATAATATTCATATTCCCAATAAAAGGCAATGTTTTAACAGAACACAATTGTGAAAAGAATTTATAGATAAAAAGTAGAGGATAACTATACAAAAAGTGAAAAAGTGGTGGAGGGTAAAAAAACTTTATCAATTCTCACTGGGATTTCATTTTCATTGAGGCCTTCATTATAGCCTCCATATTGCTGTGATCCATTGTCACCTCCATAGCCATCATTTCCACCACCTAAAATTTCAAAATCGGCCAATCCGCCATCAGAAGAACTCTGAAGTGAAATGGTATATTGGAGAGGGGACATTGTTATGGTCTAATGATTTAAATACAACGGGGACCTATGTTTACAAAGTTCTTATGTGCAAGCAAGACATCAGAGAAAGGGCAAGTGAAGTAATAAAAAAAGTGGGAACACATGTTTCATCTGCTTATTTCACGTTTTAAATATTAGCTTGATGAAATAAATTTGTATAAAGAGCAGTTGTAAGATATTATCAAACACAGGTTAACAAAATTTTATATAATTTCTCTAAGGAAATTTCTGTTACAGCTGACAAAATAAAACAACCAACACATGCAACAGCAGTAAATTAAGTTATTCCATGTATAAAAAGCTTTCTAGGCTATAAATGGCCTATGAATAGGTTAAAACCATTATCACATTTATATTAAAAAACAACAAAAGAAAACCATTATAGATTAATTAAATAAAGAATAAAATAAAACAAAAAATAGACATGACCATTAGCACTGTTAAAAAAACATACATAAAATTGATGGAACTAAATATGACACATACCTGAGCCACTGTTACTTGTTCTTGATTTTGTCCAAACCCATCAAAGTCTAAAAATAATTTTAAAAAAACGACAACATAAAATTATTTACTTAGATTTAAACAGATAAAGTGTATAGTAAAGATTAGGTCATTGTAATTTAATGTACTGTAATTTTTAAAAATACGTTCTCTAAATATTGAAAGAAAAATAATATAGATCTAGAGTAACATTACCAGACCCTAACACCCTTAGCTCAAAACGGAGACTCCTTTCCGGTTCGAGATACCTAATTTCCTTATAGAGCACTTTCACTAAGGCGCCGCTTGCGAGACAAACCAAGAAATTAGGCCAAAAGTAGATCCGACAATTCTTAAATAACAGACTTAAATAGAAACGGATAGTTCCAATTTCTAAAATTAACGATGGCTTCGTAATCATTAGTTTTATCCCTCTACCCATTAGTGAAAGCGAAACTGGTCGCCATTTTTGGTGAGCGCATGAGCCGTGAGATGGCTTCAAAACAACAAACCCGGAAGCTGTGAATCGAACGGCCTAATCACAAAGAAGTCACCTTTCTGTCACATTACGAGATGACCGATCTTACATACACCTAGAACAATAGATTACCATAATTTATATTTAAACTAACTTTAAACTGCCTTAATACTCGTAAATAGTCTTAAACTGTCTTCTCTTCTTGATGTAAGAATCTATCTTTCTATAAACTATTAAATTAATATAAACCAAGCCGGTGGTCACCCGGTGGTGGGCGTGACAGTTGAATTTTCGGGGAGGTGATGATGTGTGATATTTTTTAGAATAATTCATAGCATATAGATCTAGATGTACCTTGTGTGAACTGTTGTCCTTCGCCAAAGTTATCATCTTCCAGACCGGCTAACTCCGACTGTTCTCTTGCTAAAAAGTCAGCAGCAGGGTCTACCTCATCAGTAGGAGCTGATTCAAAAGCATCGAAGTCTGCCATTTTCCTCTTTGACGTCACAGGCGGAAATCGACTGGAATGCGTTCAGCAGAACTTCGAAATAAATATAGCCCTAGCCTTGGTAGGCCCTATAGTTTTAGTAGTAATCAGAAAAACTAATAGGCACCCATTATATTTCTAAAATATTAAACATATACAAAGGCTTTGTATTATTTTTAATTTATTAAAAGCAAAAATGTGAACACTTTTTAGTTCCATTACGTTTTACACCATTCAGTGCGGTACAAATATTGAGAATGTGTAATGACCCTGACATCACAACAAACGGACGCGACGCAGTTACTATATTTAACCTCATTGCTATAAACCCAAACAAATCCGACCAATCTCTGTTATTGTTATCATCAGCTGGAATATCAAAACAAGGACATTATACTTATCAATAAGCTAATATTTTAGTCATGGATGTGAAGAATGCAAGAGCTAATGAAAAACGGAGTGGTAGAAGAAGAAAGAAATCTTTTACAGAAGCGTTGAAAGAGAAATACTGTGTGGAAGATGAACCAACGTTTGACTTCATAATAATAAGCCCAAAACGGAAAAGTAATTCCACAGCTGAGTTGGCCCACTTACAAACTGTGGTAGGAATCACGTTTTCATTTCACAAAATTTAGATTGTTAAGCCTAAATAATACATTATTATTTATAATCTAGAAACTGTTTAGTTGGTTAAATTAATTAAAAGTCTTATTAAAGTTATTAGTAGCCTAAATTAAAATTAGGCTCATTCTTATTCATAAAGACAATAAAGTGGATAATCATGTAAATGTTTTGTATCGATCGACCCCTTTGAATCCATGACAGAACCAGATCCAGTGTTAAATCACAATGTTGTAATAATTATATTATAATCATGATTATTATAATAATGCTGCAAAAAATTATAATAGTATTATTAGAGTCTAATATTCACTCTCCTTTGATATTGCAAGCCCTTTGACACAATTGTGATGTTTTCCCTGTTATACAACCTACCATATTTTAATTATTTTTGTTTAGCATTTGTCATCCTTAATAGTACTTGTGACTATAGTCCCAAAGTGTCTCATAAAGGAGTTTTCTTATAAAAATGCTTGCTGGACAATACAGTAGGCTCTTTGTATTGCGGGTCAGTGATTCAATGCCAGAAGGAACAAAAACAAGAAACATTCCTAACCCAAAAGTCTTTAATTTGGATCTTGGGCTCATGTTTGTAGGATGTCCCTGAGCCCACCCAACTCTAATGGATACCTGACTCAAGTTAGGGAAAGTAAAGGTGGCTGGCCACACTATCTCCTCCAAGGTCACTAAAACATGTTAGCTCCACTTACCTGCACCATGGACTGTAAGGTTCGAAAAAAATACTATATGTATATATGTTTATAGAAATGTATGTATTTGTATGCTTTATATTTTTTTTGTTACTACAGGTACTTAATGAGATGGATGTAACAAGAGCAGATATTCCATGCCAAGGGTTGACCTCCCTGTGTCCAAATGTGGTTGACCTTGACCTAGCCAATAACCTGTTAGACAAATGGACAGAATTACTGACAATCTTGTCACACCTGCCTAAAGTGAAATACGTTAATGTCAGTAGAAACAACCTTCGCTTGCACCCAGTGAGTAGTATTTTGCATTTTGAGGTTCTCATATTTGTAATCATTTCAAAAGGAAGCAGCTGACTTTTTATTCAGACCAGAACATTTTACTTAGCAAAGCAATTTATAAATGAAAAGTTAGTTGGACGTTTTTAATAAATATATACATCTTAAGCCTAGGGTCCAAAGCTATTTTTGTTTTATAAACACAAACTTTAAGGTTGGGGTGGATCCCCCTTGAAGAGAGTCTACCCCCCCCCCCCCCCCAACAAAATGGAATTTATATAGAAAATATATACAGTGTCAGTCCCCAGAAACTAGTCTCCACCCCCCCCCCCCCAAAAAAAAGAAATTTCAAGTGCCCCCAGGGGTAAAAAGTCTGGAAGAAACACTGCACACCTTCACACCTTTCCATAATAACCACAGTCCTGTGTCAAAAAATATATGTCAGGAGATTAAAAACAGGAGAATCATTTATTTAAACACTCAGTACTTAGTTGCTGACCATTACAAATGTCCCATGAAGAGATTTAGAGCCAACTTAAACTGTACCCCATGTTGATTTTGTTTTTTACTTAGCAAAGCAATTTATAGATGAAAAGTTAGTTAGACATTTTTAATAAATGTATACATTACACTTACACCAATATGGATACTATAGATGCAGAATTAGCTGGTGAGAAAATAAAAAATGTTATCTAAAAGAAGGACTGAAAGTTTGAAGTAAATACTATTAGGGGTAATCCATAAATGACGTCACGCTTTTTTGGACGATTTTTACCTCCCCCCTCCCCTCAGTCACACGTTGTCCAAAAAAGCCAGACCCCCCCTAAAATGACGTCACGCCTCAACCTACAACCCCCCTCAAAATTGCAGTTGAATTTTTTTAAAACATCGATATTTTTCTAAAATCTTGTCTAAACTATTACAATTTATTAAAACAGTTATCTAAAACGCGAAATAACATCTAAAATTTGTTTTCTAACATTGCTTTTTTATAATGCAAAAGTGTGACGTTGCAACCTCTGAACCCCCCCTCCCCCTCATCACACATCGTGACAAAATTACGGACCCCCCTCCCCCCTACGAATGTGATGTCATTTATGGATGCCCCCTTATCAATAAAATAAAAAATTAGTTCTTTAAACATTAAATTTTAGATTTTTTATTAGTTCATTGCTTGAATTAAGAATGTTTGTTTCCTAGAGCGACCCACTCCCTGAGGCTAAACTGTCTGTAGAAAATTTGGCATTAAATGACACTGGTGTATCCATAGAGGAAATTGTCAAGCTTTCACCCATCTTGCCTATGTTGAAAGAACTTCATTTATGTGGAAACAGTAAGTAGTCACAAAATTTCTTTTAACAACACTTATAAACCAAATTTTTTTGTTTGTTTTGTGAATCATTGAGAAGTATGATTGTTAAAAGGCTAAATCATAATCTGCCTAGAGATATTGAAAAAAAGTTCAGTCAAATTGAGCTGTTTATAATTTTGTATGAATAAAAAGAATCTTGGTTTGAATGATAAACTTTGTTTACAATTCAACTTTTTAATAAACTCTAAATAAACCCAGCCATGACATTGACAGTCTGGAACTGGCATCTAGCCAACGTTTGGCTGTAAGTAAGTCACTGATCTGTGTCAATGGAAAATAAAGACTGACCCAGAAAACACTTGTCATAAAGGAATGAATCAGTTCTATTTTTAACATACTACTGGGGGCACAGATAAAAATAAACAATTAGTTCAAAAGCTATCTGTATTTAATTTTAAATTTATTAGTGTTATAACTTAGTGTTCAAATGCTGTGTTTAATTTTAAATGTCTTGTTGCAATTAATTTTTACAAACCAATCTTTAACTTATTTCAAATGTGGCTGTACATATTATCTTGTCCTCTTAAAGTTCTTAAAGCACAATGATTAGCAGTAGTCCACTTTATATTTTTGTTGATTACTTTTTAGTACTGTCTTTCATTTTTTTTATTATGTGTCATTATTGTTTGCCTATGGCTTTAAGAAAAGTTATAAAATTAAGGTAAACCCATGCTTTATTGTTTAATTTTAAGCTGTAAAATAACAGTTAGTTAACATTTACACAAAATCTATATGAAACTTTTGTTGTAGATTATGAAGAGCTTGCAGACATTGAAGAAAGAATCCAAGAAGGGGCTTTCTCAACCCTGGAGTGTCTTAGACTAAACAATAATGGCATTTCTAGGTTTGTAGCTCTTTTTTTTCTTTTGTGCTTCAGTGTTAATGTTTTATAGAGCCAATATTCAACATGTTTACTTTGATCTTGACCCCAACCACTTAACAATAAAGCAAAATAAATTGATCTTTAAAAATTGATTTAGGTATTTAAGTGGGGATGGTTGAAAAGTCAATTAAAATTATAACAATTACTTTTCAGTTGGTCTGAGGTTTGGAAGCTTAGACACTTACCTAATCTGAAGTACCTTGTGCTATCTGGCAACCCAGTCAAGGACATTTTTTATCAAGTTTGCTCACAAAATGAGCAGCTTGATCTGGCAAGTTCTATTAGATCAGATACTTCACAAAGCAATTCTATGCAAGACCAAACAAATACCAATGAAACTAATGAACAGACCACAGATTTAATCAGAGAATGGGACTCTAGTGACCCCTCCTTCTCTGACTCCAATCTCTTTACATATCCGTCTGAAGATCTTGATGCTGTTGACGAAATTGAAGACTTAAATGATCTAGACACAGAGAGTTCCTCTGAAGACATAGAGGACTGTGGCTGCACACACAGGCCAGTGAGCAGGTTTGAGAACCACTCGGATTCTGACTGTTCTGATGGTGACAGGGCTAGAACTGACAGCGAGAGCGACGTCTCTCTCAGTGCTGAGGACAACTTCTGTTTCTCCGAGCTGGATGCCTCCTCAAACAGCAACTTTAACAACAGCTACGTCTGTGAGACACACATGCCTGTGTACTCAGAGTTTGAAGCCTGCCCTCACAACTTCTCTAAATCTGTCGACATGAGCCGTGACAGTGAATCAAAGTGTGAATTTAAACTACATGATGAGGACTCCGAGGTTGAAAGTTCAGACAGCCATCGCTTGGCTGCTGAAACCTTTCTATTTGATGTGATAAACAACATTGACTTCTCTAAAGATTTCCCACCAGTACAGTCCCCTGCCTGTGCTAAGTCTGGCAGTCTTCACACTACAACCCCAAGCAGTGCCAGTCATGAAAACAGTTTATCACCAGTAAAGCTGGCTGATTCTGTCTCTCACAGTGCCAACTCTGACAAACAGACAAGTGTCATTGACAACATGTGGCTGGATGACATTCTGGAAAAAGAAATGTTCATAAATATTCACTTCGAACAAAATGATGGAGACTTGTTCACACCTCGCTCAATAAGTTTACAGGATGAAGATTTCTTCTCCCACAACCACTCCAACAAATCTTACCCGGCTAAAACTAAAACACAGCGCTGTCTGTTTCAAGAACCTGACAACACCACCAAAACTGAACTTAGCCAAGAAAATGACAGCAGTTTAAAAAATGAATCTAGCAGCTTGGCTCATCAGATCACACCAACACAAACCTGTATACAGTCTCACAGTTCTAGCAGTAAGAAATCCTCAGCCATGTTGCCTGAGAGACCAGCTGATAGCTGTGATAGAGGTGAAGGACCCCAACATTCCCAGCACAGACTCCACATGGCAGCCGATGTATCAGAGAGTGAGAAGACGCAGCCATTCCATCAGTTGCAGACACTGTGTCTCAGCAACGCCAACCTCTCCCACTGGACACACTTGAAGCCGTTTAAACTGTTTCCTAAGCTCAACAACATTAGGCTTAAGGTTAGTCCACTCCTTTACTTGTTGCAGAACATGTTGTTTAGATACAATGTTGCAGACGTAAATGCATTTTCTTATTGTTGGCCATGTTTTAACAGTGTATATGAAAATGGTTTGATTAAAAAAAAAGAAGCAGTTTTAATAAAATAAAATATCTCTATAATCAGACTTAATAGATGGACAAATTAGTGTTTGCAAGTCATTTCAGTAATTATACAACAATTAATATTTCTTTTAAAAAACAATAGCTTCTAGTTTTTAATGTAGAAAATTGGATCAATATAATTAAGAAAAGGAGGTAAATTCTATTTGATTCCCTTGCATATGTCCCCTATACTTAGTAGGCTGTTCTACTCAGCCACCTTTACTTTCCCTGAGTCAGGTAAAGCTCATGGTGGCTAAATTGATAAGTCTCGAGTTTGAACCCGGGCAGTGTTACTGGGGGGGGGGGGGGGTATATATTTTTATATATATCGCATATTCTTTCGGGGACGGTAGCTTTTCTTGGGGGGGTTCTTCCCCCCCCCCCCCCCCCCCCCCCAAAGAGATGCCTGGAAGAAACTCTGCCACCTGGCAGATTAGGCTAGAGAGCTGGAGACAGCAACCCTTCTAGAAGAGACAACTCAAAAATCAAACAACTGCTGCCTTGTGGTTTGTTCTTGGTTGGACAAAGTTATGGAAGCAAAAAAAAAAAATGCATGCTGTAATTGGAGTCACCAGCCTTTAGTATATGGTGTGTAACATGTAATCCTTAATTATATTGGAGAAAATCTCATCCAACATTAAAAATAAAGAATGAAGAAAAGTGAGGTGCCTATAAGAGCTGAGTACACTAAGTGATGTTTTATAGACTTAAATAATCTACCAATTAACTATGCCATACCACATAATATCAGTTCATTCATTAAAAGAACAGATTCATTACATATACTTTTTTCCATGTAAAATAGTTTCAGAAAACACAAACACATTGTTACAAGGATAAACCCTAAGACTGTTTGTGTTGGTTTAGTTAGAGCAACGTAACATTGGTCTTGTGACTTATTCAACTTTTTTTTTTGGCAGAATAATCCTTTGTACTCATCAGAACATGCAGAGGACAGGAGGAAATTGTACATAGCCAGGTAACACTCATACTAATATGGATGGGGGTAGAGGAGGAAATTGTTTTTAACTCTAATAAGGTAGTGTGTGGGGACGTGAGAAATTAAATAGTGTTGGCCAGGATTACAGTTGACCACTGGCCATTCATTGTTATAAATTGTCCAGTTTTATAAATTGTGATATTTTAAAATTGACAACAATGTGATGAAGAAAGAGGCAACAAATTTGTAATATTTTCCAGTTTACCCACTGTAAATGTGCTGAATGGCAGTGAGATCTCCCAGACTGAGAGAGAGAAAGCTGAGAGACATTACCTGCGCTACTACATGGACCAGGAGGAGAAACCAGAGTTTTATTACACTTTAATTAAAAAACATGGTGAGTCTTTGGTCTAGATGGGAACAGTTGCTTGTGTATAGGTATTTAAGGCATCACTGATTATTTCAAATGTTTTTGCAAAATGTAAATTTGTGCAAATAATATGTGAAGAAAAGATATTTAATACATTTAATAAATGTGAGTACCTAGTTGAGATATTTTTAACAAACTTAATAAATTGTGTAAATAGTAGAGATATTTTGACATACTTAAGTTGTATAAATAGTAGATATTTTTTAACAAACTTAAATTGTGTAATTAAGTAGAGATATTTTAACAATTTTAAGTTGTATAAATAGTAGAGATATTTTAACAAACTTAAATTGTGTAAATAGTAGAGATATTTTAACAAACTTAAATTGTGTAATTAGTAGAGATATTTTGACATACTTAAGTTGTATAAATAGTAGAGATATTTTAACAAATTTAAATTGTTTAAATAGTAGAGATATTTTAATAAACTTAAATTGTGTAAATAGTGGAAATATTCTAAAATACTTTTCAAAGCTAATGTTTTGTAAACTTGTTTTAACAAATGTAACAATGTCATTTAAAGAAACTGTTACTTCAGTATAAATGTATCACTATATTATCGTGTACATAAGTAAATATATTAGAAAAAAACTTGTCAGTTCTGTCAACCCACATGTTTGTCCCCAGGCCCACCTGTTCGTCTTGTTGACATTGATCTCAGTGCAGGGTACCAGGAGTGGGCTAATCTCAAGTTTGTCTGTGAAGGGGTGGTCAAGTTCACCCGTAAAATACATTTGGTTGAGCCCATCACTAGATTGAGGGCTATAATCTCACAAGAATTGAAAATACCCAAAAGGTAAATTGTTAACTATGTTTGCAACCATCTTCCTGGCATAACAGCATTGTTTCCATTGGTTTTGCCTGTGTATACATAAATTAAAGGGAAGCAATGTGTATATATATTCAAGGGAAACAACTCTGCTTATTTTGTCAGTTTAACAAGGACAGATCCACTAGTTTCTAATTATAAAGCTAAATATTTGATATTTAGTTCAGCTGAATTTCAAGCTTTGTATTTCCAGAAAATTTAAGGATATAAAATTTCATTTTTTTTGTTGCTGCGAGATCACAATTTAAATTTAACCATCATAAAACATCAAGAATCTAAAAATCTAAAAATGTAAAAGCAAATTTTTTGTTAAAAAAAAATGATTATCATGGTAATAATACTCAATTTCCATTTAATAAATGACTTGGATCGTCTTTATAAATGATTAAGTTAGATTTTATCAATGTTTAAGTCAGATTTTTGTAGATGTGCTATTGACAAAACTAAAAAGCCACAAACACCAAGTTGACCCCATACAAACACCAAGTTGACCCCATACAAACACCAAGTTGACCCCATACAAACACTAAGTTGACCCCATACAAACACCAAGTTGACCCCATACAAACACCAAACAAACACCAAGTTGACCCCTACAAACACCAAGTTGACCCCATACAAACACCAAGTTGACCCCCTGCTACATGTTTCAGCTGTTTTCTCCTGTACCACCACTCCTGCGGACCCTCCCACCCCGAGTCAGAGAGGGAGCTTGTAGAGCTGAGGTGTGAGTCCCTCCCCATGTCACGCTTTGATTTTGCCGAGGGGGATGAGGTTCACATTGACATTAGGGACTAAACAAACACACCACGGACCAGGTTCAAGTGTCTGACACCCAGCTAGCTGAGGGGGGGATGAGGTTCACATTGACATCAGGGACTAAACAAACGCACCACGGACCAGGTTCAAGTGTCTGACACCCAGCTAGCCAAGGGGGGTGGGGAAGAGATTCATATCCAGGTCTGAGCTTGCCAGGCTGCAGATATCATCATCACCCAGCTGACCTCATGAGTGAACCTGATGACCTTGTGGGTGAACCTGATGACCTCAAGGGTGAACCTACTTACCTTGTGGGTGAACCTATTGACCTTGTGGGTGAACCTGATGACCGTGTGGGCAAACTTACTGACCTCATGAGTGAACCTGATGACCTTGTGGGTGAACATGATGACCTCAAAGGTGAACCTATTGACCTCATGGATGAACGTACTGACCTTGTGGGTGAACCTGCTGACCTCATGGATTTAACCTACTGACCTCATCAGTGAACCTGATGACCTCATGGGTGAACCTTCTGAACTTGTGGGTGAACCCACTGACCTTATCAGTGAACCTGATGACCTCATGGGTGAACCTATTGACCTTGTGGGTGAACCTACTGACCAACTGATTGTATTATAAAACAACCAAACCTGCTTTGATTCTATTAGCTAGTGGTGTGCACCTTAATGGCCGTAGAAATGTGTACTAGTGTGTGTCGGCGTAAGCACTAGCTGATGTTGAATTAAGTTTGTTGACTCATTCATGTTTTGCTCACTGAAGTAATGAATGACCCGTGTTCACTGTAAGATAGTTTTATCAGCCCTATAGGCATTTAAACGTCGTGTTCCATGAAGTCTTAAGACAAACCTAAATGTTGAGGGCACAAACTTAAGACCGCTAGCTGTGAAGTTACATGCATTTAAGGTAAGTAAAGTTTCTTACATTCTCATCACAGAGCTGCATCACCCTGTTCTGTAGCCATGGTCTACAGGTCTAGGGTATGTTAGGACATAGTCCAGTCATAAGGAAAACAGGTGTGTACACAGGTGTGTCATTTCATGCTCCATGTTGAAAGCCATTTGATTTGTGACACACAATCACAGTAAGTGTACATGGTATATTCAATTAATTAAGACAAAACACAAGTACAACACAAACATTCTAATTGCTTCAGCACTTTAAAAAAATGGGAGTTATTAAAGTCAGTCATAACCAGAGGAGAAAGACCATTCAAAGCACATGTAAGTAAATTATGGGGTCAATAAAGTTTATATTATCACTATTGACTGTTATATCAGTAGTGTGGGGAGGGAGATGCAAGGTAGTTGTCCTCCCTGGGTGTTAGTTTGTCAGTATATAACATTAAGATGGGGTCAGGGGTCAGCTCTTGTAAGTACGATTATGTCCATATGACCACTAGTATGAATTACATCAGGAGTAGAGGGTATTCAAACCACCATATACATTTATATATATAGATGTAAGCATATCTGCCTAACACCCTCCTGGATATATATGCCATAACCTGTACCTTGAGAATAAGCCACTAAGCTTTATTGATGAGCTGAAAACTGAAATTATGTAAATAAAAAATATATTTGAATGTATCACCATAGTAGATTTTGCATTACCTTAGAGCAAATTTTTCTGTGTAAAATTTTTTTTAAACCTTGCATTTAGTTTAAACAAAGAATTTAGATGACATTAATATGGTCATAGTTTTTACTGTCAAATCTCATTAAGTGACTGATGCATTACAAATTATTTGTATTATTACATTTATGCTTAAAGGTAAAGAAATTGTAAAAGATGTAATTCTGTTTAGGTTTATTAACAGGTTTGTCTAGATTTTTAAAATCCAAACTCATCTGATATTGTAGTTACAGATTTGAGTTTATTTTATGACTACAAACTACTTTCATGTTGTCCATCTTTATCTAAATCTGTTAAAATGTGGTGGTCATTTTAAAGACAACTAACCATAATCTTGACTCCCATGTACTGCTGGATGATTCATCCAATATGACACTGCTACTTTGGGTAGCAAAAAATGACATGTCAGTCTTGTCATTTCTGTAAAAAAAATTTTATATTCCATCATCTTTCAAGGTAAGTAACTGATTATAAACTTCTTCACACTTTTTTATCTGTTGAAAAGTTAAGAAAAACATGACATCACATTTAAAGGGCGGTAACTAGTGATTACAAATAAAGGTAAGTAACTCATTCATTTTAACCAGTAAGTCCTTGTCAAGATAATTCATGTAAGTAATTTGAAAAAAATTTGTGATATTGTTTTTTGTATGCCTATGTATGTTTTTAGAGAGCCTTTTATTAGGCAGTTTAACCTTATATTTCTAACACTCTTGTTTATACAGTTTTATAGATTGTGACTAATGGCATTATTTTTGTGCAAAATTCAAGAGTGATTTTATTTTATTTCTATTGTATTTTTAGCGGTTTAAATTTACCAAACTTTGTGATGATTAAAAATTATGTACATACATTGAAGCGTGAGGTTTTGGAGTGATTCGAAAGCTGTGTTGTGTTTTTGACCTAGAAATAATTTTATTTTGAAAGTTATTAATGTTGGTGGTTGTTTTTGTGTGTGCTGCTTAAACAATAGCTTACACCACCCGTTACATTTTAAGACAATTTTTAACACCAACAAGAAATAGAAAAATATTACAGAGCAAAAATTCTCCTTAATAAAAAATTACATTTGACCTATCGCAATGCCCTTAGCAGAGGCGTATGCAGGTTTATGTGTTAGGGGGAGCTGCAAGTCGACAAAAAGGCGCCATCTTTATAAATATATATCTATATCTCTCTATACATATACATATACAAATACAAATACAAATACAAATACAAATACAAATACATATACATATACATATACATATACATATACATATACATATACATATACATATACATATACATATACATATACATATACATATACATATACATATACATATACATATACATATACATATACATATACATATACATATACATATACATATACATATACATATACATATACATATACATATACATATACATATACATATACATATACATATACATATAGCCTACATATACATATACATACAGATACACACACACACATATATATATATATATATATATATATATATATATATATATAGATATAGATATATATATATATATATATATATATATATATATATATATATATATATATACACTAGCTGTATATCATTGCTTCCCTTAGGTGTAAAACATAAAAAAAAGAACAAAACACAATCAGTGTTTCTTCCAGACTTTTTTCTCCTGGGGGGGGGGGGGGCGGACGCTAGTAAAAGTGTATGTTTACTATATAAAATCCATCTCGTTCGTGGGGGCTGTAGACCACTCCCCCATAGAAGAGATGTCTGGAAGAAACTCTGAACACAATGTAGGCCTAAAACTCAAAACAATTTATCACACAAACAAAATACAACACAAAATATACACACAACACAACCAAAAACTAGAAACGCAACACTTATTGTTTCGTAATTTTCGTAATCTTTATAAAATAAACAATTTGACACAATGTTTAATGGAATATTAAGACACAAGCGAACTACAGTAGGGGAGGTAATCACTCTCTTAATATAGATATGTATAGGCCTACCAATTTAAATGCAATTCTCAAATTCAACGAGGTCAGTCATTTTATGTTTATTTAATATAACAACTTGTCACAACATATTTTTAAAATAACTGTCTATATTCAAAATTACGTATTTCATTATCATAAATGCTAAAATATTAAAGCATAATGAAAGTTGACAAAAGCGGACATGATATAAAAACGCGCGCTTTTAACGCGGATTTGTTTGTAGCTCTTATGTAAGAGACGAACTATTTTATTTACTGTCATATTTAAATGTTTAAAACAATTGATTAAAAAAAAAACTGTTTGAGGACTGTATAGATATAGATGTTTGAAAGAGAAGAATGTTTGCTTTGATGTGTCTCGTTGTAATAACATAGCTTTTCCGATTGCTTAAAATTTGTATCATTTTAATTCTCTGTAATCACAAATCTATTTCAGCTCTACTTAAAAACCCAAATTCTACACCGCCCCCCCCCCCCCGCCCCCTCACCCACCACGCCGAGGGAAAAAAATCCCTTGAATTATCATTTAATTACACATTTGCATTTTCAGTTTCAGGTTGGTTTTTAATTTTAATTTTTTTCTTTATATTTAGACGTTTTGTATTAGATCTATGTATAAGTAAACCATCTTAAATGAATGAAAGTAGGCTACAAGTAAGAAAGAAATACTACTATTGTAAATCTGTATCAGTCCTCACAAGCCGATGATGAAAACTGTAATACTAAAGCGAACACACAACTGACGCTGTAAATTACATGTCTGAGGCCAAAAAAAAAAAGAAAAAAAAAAAAAAAAAGAGAAAAAAATTTATTTACTGTCATAAACCTGATTATTTCTATACGATATTATTTGTTTTAACTACATTTTTACTTTCTCGTATATACGAAGTATAGATAAAGTCTTGTAATCGTGCAAAAAAAAAAATCGAGATTTTTACAAATCTCGACGTTTTACACCTCACTGATACGGAAAAACATAATTTTGCAATCTTGTCCGTATGTCTGTGTGTCTGTGTTTGTGTGTGTGTCTGTGTGTAAACACGATAACTTGAGCACCGTTACAGCTAGGTTGATGAAATTTCATATATAAGTATTTTATCAAAATCGTAGATCCGTATCAACCTTTGAGCGATTTCCGATAACCGGAAGTGGTACTTTTTCTACTTTGAATTTTTCAAAAGCCTGTAACTTAGGTATTATTTCAGATAGATAAATGAATTTTGATTTGTAAGTAAAAGATCTAATTCTCTACATTCTGTCAAATTTTGATTAATTTCCGTTGACCGGAAGTACTTATTTCCGCTATTTCCGATTTCTCAAAAAACGCATGTAAATTTATGAAGTACTAATAATATTGCGCACTATTATGCACATCTTTATTTGGCGTTCACTTGGTGATCAATTCTTTTTTTCTAAGAGATTATATTCTATTTTAAAAAGTTTGAGTATTTAAAATGGATTAAAAATCATGTCTAGATTTCTATTTTCCGAGTTGCCACCCCCCGTAGTGTTATATTAGAATATTCGAGAAAGTTTAGGGGAGATCACTCCCGGTTTATTGTTCTTGCCTTTCTGTTCATAACTTGTTTGAATTTGCAACTGCTTTACTGCTTTACTGCAAAAAAAAAAAAAATAAATAAAAAAAAAAAACATTCACAGAGTTTTATCTGTTGCAAAAGCTATAATTCTGATAGTATAAGAATTTTTTTCTTTCTATTTTTGAATTTTGGCTTTCATCTTTTGGAGGCAGCTTAACTCTTTTCCACAGTGTTTTTCTATTGTTTTAACTAAATTATCAAGAGGTACTTTAGTGTATGTCAGTTAAGTACATCTCTACGTGCTGATCATCTTGACTCATACTAACGTTTTTGAAGTTGTGTGAGAATGTGTTTGTTATGTAATCTATTCAGCTTCCTCTTCCTCCCCCACCACCACATATTAAATTTTTTTTTAACACCGTCCATCTAAAAATGTGTGCATCTCTGCAAGATGCCTTTGGAGAATGTTCTAGATCAGCCAACATACAAGGGATCTGCAATTTCACTTCCTTCTAGTACTGAAATATCCAAAATTAGCAAAATCGTATTTTACGGGGTGTACTTTACATACACAATCCCTACGTCTCTAGACTGATCTTATAACCCAAAGTGAATAGTATAGGCAGTAGCGTACGCAGGGGGGGAGCAGGGGGAGCGGCCGCTCCCCCTCGGGCCATTTTCAGCAAAGTGGCGCCTTTTTGGAAACTTTTTAAACTTAAAGTTTTAAACATTGATATTTGTTAAAAAATTATTTTTAGTCGGCACATCTCTGTAAATCACAAGATACATTTTCATGCAGCAGTTAAGCATAGTAGTAATAGACTAGTAGAGTCTACGTTCACAACACGTATTAGCAGCTGCATCAGTTTCTCAATCTAAAAATAACCATTACGATGCATTGCAATGTTTAAAAAACCTCTACGGGTAGTAGCACTTGGCAAGATTAGTGTTAAGTTTAAGGCAACTGTATAATGTATTTGTTTACGAATAATTGAATTAGAAAATGTTACACATAAAACTTCACACATAATTACTCTATATATACAGTTTAAAGCGTGTAATTAATTATTTGAAATTACAATACAGACATAAATACAACTGACGTGGCACCTCTATTTAAATTTACTTATGGGCGAACTGCGTAGCGGTGGGTACATTTTGACAAGGTCAACAACGTCATCACGATGAAGTAGTAGTATTATGACAGTTTGGGCGATAGTGATTACGATTACAAATTTATATGAAACAATATCAACTTTATATTAATTATTATTTTAGTTTACTATATCTAGATTTATATTAAATGTGAATAATGCTATATTTTGTATTTAAAAAAAAACAACTCAATTTAAACTGACACTGATCGCACAGTTAATTATCCGCTCAGCTCAGTAGCGCAGGCGGTGTGTGTGTGTGGGGGGGTGTTAGGTGGGTTATAACCCCCCCCCATGAACTACTCTGTAAAATAATTATTTTTAAATCTATTTTTGAATCAGTATACATGTGCAATTGAATAATGTATGTTTAGAACAGTAGTCTAAAAAATGACGCTATGTTCACTCTGAGTTGGTTTTTCCACCCCCCACCTCACCGCCACAATTGTGTAGAGCGACATTAATGTCACACCTAGGTATACGCTGGGTTGGATAATTGACCTAAAGTGACCGGACAGTGGTGAATGTAGTTGAACCCTCCCCCCCCCCAACCCACCCCGAACTGATCTGTTAAGTACATTTGGAAAAACGCGTAATGATGTACCAAAGTACCATGTCGCCAGATCATAGCTTTTGAAACGTAAACCTCTGTGAACATTGTTTTTGCAATTACCAGTAAAACTGTGTGTGAGCAATACAGTGATCTAACCCATACCTTATCATTATGTTAAAATAAACCGGGAGTGATCTCCCCTAAACTTTCTCTAATATTCTTATATAAAATAACAGGGGATAGGAACTCGGGCTATAGACATGATTTTTAATCAATTTTAAATACTTAAAGTTTTAAAAATAGAATAAAATCTCGTAGACAAATTAATTGCACACCAAGTGAACGCCAAATAAAAAAGCGCATAATAGTGCGCAATATTATTAGTACTTTTAAAATTTACATTAGTTTTTTGAGAAATCGGAAGTAGCGTAAATTACTACTTCCGGTCAACGGAAATTACTCAAAATTTAACAGAAGGTAGAGAATTAGATCTTTTACTTACATGTGAAATGTCATTTATCTATCTGAAAAAGTACTCAAGTTATAGGCTTTTGAAAAATTCAAAGTAGGAAAAGTACCACTTCCGGTTATCGGAAATCGCTCA